CCACTCACCACCTCATCAGTTTTCTGTTCCCACCCGCAGGCTCTCTCTCCCTTCACATCATTCCTTCAATTCTACATTTTCTTTTAAGGAACGCGTTGTCCTTTGGATAGATTTAGACCTACATATTTTGGTACTGATTGGTGTAGATGATCACATTATTCTAGAGGGACCTACGGTGTAACAGCACTCTAAATCAATAATCATGTATTATTAAGCCTGCAAGCAGTTGTACAGTAAGGAGCAGATGGTGGAGATACTGGCATTGTCAGGATAGCTGAACATTAGCTCTCTCTCACTCACACACACACGCACACACATTTTGAGAACGGTCACAAACTGTCTTAGGACTGTTTTGCACTGCAACTTCCCTAAAAATATTTCTCAATAAACAGGCTTTGTCACTTATATTACAGTGCAGTTATATTGTGACTGTTGACCCTGAAACTCTAATCTGTCCATATGGCTCAATACTTATATGGTTTCATACAATATTATAATTATATAATAATAATACATTTTATTTCTATAGCGCTTTTCAGGACACTCAAAGACACTTTACAGTAAAAGCAGAAGTTGTAAGCAGCAGTAGATGTAATATAACATTATTTGATGTTAAAAGCTAGTCTAAAAAGGTAGGTTTTGATAAGTGATTGTCGCTGCAATCTCGGATGTGTATGGGTAAGGAGTAATGATAAAAGTGATAAAATTATTAAGCCTGCAAGTGATAAAAAACGATTTACCACAAAAAAGGCTAAAAGTTCAATAAAATCCTTTTTTGTCTGCTCAGAATCCCGACGAGCTGTGTCATTATGGCCAAGCACCAGGTTTATGCAATGTAAATGTAAATACTCTGTACTTGTATAGCGCCTTTCTAGTCTTTTTGACCACTCAAAGCGCTTTTACACTACATCTGCATTCACCAGTCACACACATTCATACACTGAGTCTAAGTGCTCAACATTCAACTAACATTCACACTCACTCATACACTGGCGGAATAGCCAGGGGCAATTCAGTATCTTGCCCAGGACACTTCGACACGCAACCAGGGATTGAACCGCCGACCTTCCGATTAACGGCCAACCCGCTCTACCTCCTGAGCCACATCCACCCCGTTTATGGAGGATGTGAGTGAGTGCAGCAGTTCAGTTTGCTCAGCAGAGTCAGGACTGTGGCTCCAGGAAGACAGCGTGTGGTGGCGTTGAAGAAATGGATGTTCCTGATAATGCTATCACCCACTATCAAAGTGGAAGGGACGAAAAGGGGGCGAGGTCAGGGATGACGAGGGAGCTCGCGTTTCGGTGGGGCTCAGGTGTTACTGCGGGCGGGGCTGTTGAGCCAGTTGCATCCAGGCAAGGTGGTCTGCTGGAGCGTCGGAGCACGGCCTCCTTTATAATCCTGCGCTGGGCGGGGTAGATCGAGGTTGAGGAGAAGGCCGCTGGGTTTGTTCTCCGGACCCGAGTCACCCGTTTGGTGTCAGAGCTCTCAGCCGCCGGCGGGGAGGAGGGTGCAGGTTTGGCAGATGGTGTGGATGGGACTTGGCCAGGGGCAGGGGGATGTACAGGGGGATCAGCTGGATGGTCCGGGTTTTTAAACAGCCAGTGGAGCATAGCGGTTGGAGAGGTTCAAGCAGGGGAGGGAGTCGGTCCTTTCTGTGCTTTTCTCACAGCCCCTGATCACCAACTCAGCCCGTGTTGACCCTTGGTTTGGTGTTGAGCAGGAGGGCTGATGACCGGTGGATGGATCCCATAGGATGGTGTCCTGATTGGTTGAGCTCAGCTGTTTTTTTGAGTGTTCTGCTATCATGAAGCTGGAAATAAGTGGGTGACAGGCCGAGGGAGTCCTTCCTCAGCAGTTTATTATAAGAGGAGTACTCAGTGCACAAACAAAATGCCATGCTGCATTTTGTTTGTGACACAAGGAATACCAATTCAATTCTTTGCTATTTGCTTGTCAAGGTTTTGGGGTTTCGCGTTTCCTGTTTTGTTTTGAAGGTATCTACCTCTGGTGTCCCGTTTGCCACTTGTGTTTTATTATCTCCACCCTCGTCCCACAATTTGTTTGTGCCCAAACAATGTCTTCAGATTTTGGACTATTACCTTTGGATTCTAGATTGTCTTCACTGTGAGTTCACCATCTTCAATAATTAAACTTTGTAAACTGCAAATACTCCGCCTGGGTCCAAATCTCCTGTTTTTTATGTCAGCACTTGAGCTGTGTTATGTGTTATGAGGATCCCATCTTCCTGGTTCCTTTCTGGTAATAGATTTTGCAAAACACTCTCCAACCATCCAGCTGTTCTTCCAGAGCCAGTCACTCCAGCCTCCCTGGCAGCCAAGCCTCAGCCGGATTCCCAGTTTTCAGCCAGCTTGGCGCCAACCTGATTCTCGGCCTGCTAGCCACCAGGCTTCATCCCGGCCTCGACAAAGTAGAGACTCCTGGACGTCCATCCAAGAGACTGTGCTAGCTTGACTGGGAGTCTATGATATTCAGTCCCACCAGGTCCTTCATCAGTGGTCCGGCTGTCTCCTGCTCCTTGTGTCTGGTCGGTGGTCCGGTCGATTTCTGCTCCCCGTGTCCAGTCAGCAGTCCGGCCACTTCCTGCTCCTCATGCTTCATCAGCCACCAGAGGGGTTTGGCCTTCTCCGCAGGCCTCAGAGAAGTTTTGCCTTCACCACTGGTCTCCAGAGGGGTTCCACCCTCGTCTTCTGCTTCCCCAGCCCCTTAGGTTGCCCGGAGTTCTTCTGCATCACCCCTGTGCTTCAGTTCCCAGGTCACTTGTCCCTGAATATCTCCTCCAGACCTCCATCTACCCTGCCTGGTTCAACATGGACTGTTTTTCACCTACCCCATTCTCCAGCTCCCAGACCAGTAGCAGGCTGCTGATTGGCTCAGTGTGACTGCCTTTTGAAGGCTGACATTACTACTTTATGCAAAATTTGATTGTATTGAAATAAATATAATAATAATAAAGAAAATGCTACAAATGTTTTTACTGGATGTTAAGTCACGATTTTATCTTTTACAAAATGTACTGATAATAGAAATGGCAGTTTTTTACTTGCAATCCATCATGATTTGCTGAAACACACCAATCCACTACTTAGGTCTTGTCTACATAGAACTGGGGAATGTGGGCTGAATTTAGACAGCCTTGCCCGGAGGTGCAGTCAAAAAGGAGCACCCTGCCAATTCAACACCAACACTTAAACTTCACCATGCATGATCAAAAGACAGTTTGACAGATGTTTAATTAAATGATTTTCAATAATATAGATTTTTTTTTTATTAAGTCTAAAAACTGTTTAGTCTTTTTGTTACTGCCCCTTCACCACAGCCCAATGAGGAAACATTGTCCTTGGAAACACAAAGAGGGGATTTTATACTAGAGACTATAACTTTGGAAGATATCCACTTGATTTTAATTAGCTCAGAATGCTGAGGCCTACTGTAGCATCACATAAACTTTGGAATATATGTGCACAAAATATCGGCACCTGCCTATTATTTTTAGATTGTGAACCTATCCTTTAAATGAGACCTATTATACTGCTTTTCCAGTCCTATATTGTAGTTCTGTGATGCCTGTATGGCAGCATGGCATGATTCAAAGTTTAAAAAAAGTTTTTTTTTCTTATACTGACTTTTCATGTAGGCCTTCATTTCAGCCTCTGTCTGAAACAAGCTGTAGATGCTCCTGTCTCTTTAAGGCCCCCCCTCTCAAAACCCACTGTCTTCTGTTTGGCCAAGACCTGAAGCATGTTACCAGGCTGTTGTTGGAGAGTGGGCGTTGCCATGCCTTTAGTGTGGGAGCACATGAGCATATATGGAACACTGGCTCCGTCTGGCTCGGTAATAGGTAGAACAAAACTGCTGGTAGAAAAAGCAGTTGAAAACAGAGTGTTCAGAACAGGAGGAAATCTGAGGTTTTTGCTCACAGGGATTTCTTATAAATACTTTAATCTCATTTTTTGAAGCTTTGGCCATGTTTAACATGAACAACCAACATTATAACATTGTAGATAAGTCATAAAATGTGACAAATGTGGTAGAAGTGATAGTAGGTGTCTTATCTGTCGTCATGCTTTTATGTATTTTGTGAATGGCAGGAAGATAGCTGATGTTCAGCATTATCTAATATCCATAGTACCATGCTAGAACTAATGTTAATATTTTAAACTAAATTGTGGTAGAATTTATTTGATTAAATAACACTGCCAAGACTGTGATAGCATCACAGTCCTCCTTAAATATTAATAACATAGTAAGAAACAAAAACTCCAAAAGAAGAGCCGGTTTATGATAAGAAATAAACCAACTAATTAAACTACCTGGGAGGCTGGTGTCATTAGTGTTTCTCCCTCTGTGTCTGTGGCACTGTTAACAATGTGAATCAGAGCCCTCACTCTTTCCTGCAGGAAATTCTGTTTAATGACGCTGACTGTGAAGGCTGTCTAACCATCTGAGAGTTGCAGCAGACCTGCGGTTTTCTGGGAGTTTGTTCCAGATATCTGGTGCATAAAAACTGAACACTGCTTCTCCATATTTAGTTTAGACTATGGGGACAGAAAGCAGACCTGAGAGGTCTGGATGGTTTTGCGAAGAACCATTCAGTGCTTTATAAAACAACAGCATTATTTAAAAATCAGGAAGCCAGTGTATAGATCTCAGAACTGGCGTGATGTGATCCACTTTTATGGTCTTGGTGAGGACTTGAGCAGCTTTCTGAATCAACTGCAGCTGTCTGATAAATTTTTTAGGGAGACCTAAAATTAGTCAAGTTGACTGAAGATAAATGCATGGACAAGTTTTTTGCAAATCCTGCTGAGACATAAGTCCGTTAATCCTTGATATATTCTTCAGGTGATAGTAAGCTGACTTTGTCATCGTCTTAATGTGGCAATGGAAATTGAGTCCATGACCAAACCAAGATTTCTGGCTTGCTTTGTGTTTTTTTTTTTAATCTTTAATAGAGATAGAAACAAAATTCTGGCACATCCAATGATTGACTTGTTTAATGCACTTAGCGCTTGTATTGGATTATAATCCCCTGGTGAAATATTATATGAAATATACATTTTTGTGTCATCTGCATTATTATGGTAACATATCTTGTAATTTATCTTGTTTATCATCTGAGCCACCTACATACACAAAGTAGTCCCTTTCCTTCAAATAGGATTCAAACCATTTAGCACTATGCCAGTAAGTCCCACACAGTTCTCCAGTTGCTCTAGTAATATCCTAAACCTAACCAAGTTGCCACCCTAATCACAACACGTCTCTCAGCAGAGTAGTAGAATGACCTTTCACCAACACCTGCCTCCTCACTCAATATTCTTGGAATACTTAATCCTGTGTAAAGATGAGGACAAATTGTGGCAAATGGTAATAACCTGCTTGAGTGAGTAAGCTCTTTCTTACTTTTTCTTTAATGTCAGAATGTCATAGCACAGGATCATAAATCACACTAGCCCATTACCATTGTTATCAACATCATGTCACTGCCTCACGCCTTACATGCACAGGTTTAAATATTGTGCATGCAAAGGAGGCAAACATCACAGCACTAGTGTGGTAAAGATCTTCACATTACAAACATATGCACCAATGACACAGTTACATAGTTGGGAACTGGACTTGCACTGCTCAACTGTATGGTACATGACTATACTGGGAACCTTGATATGTACAATTAATTATTGGACTTCACTTTCTACTTAAAAGTACCCAGCTTTCTTCTTTTCTGTCCCACTGCTGGAGGTCAGATCAGATAGTGGTGAAGGTGAAACGAGTGACATGCTGATAATCCTCACCGGGACGCAGAAGACAGTCAGGAAATGAAGCCTACAGACAGACAGACAGAAAGACATTGTAGAACACATTGTAATATACAGTAATATTAATTAGACTAGAGTGTCTCAACCTTGAGGTCATCTTACATGGGATTGCCTGAAATACAGACACAAAACATGATCTGTAAATAGATTTGAAATCCACACTCTCCATGATCCACAAACAGAAATCAGTTACTTGTACTTGAAAACCACAATTTGAATGAATGCTATTGATTTGTCTGCGCGTGTGTTTCATATTCTATTTGTAGATAGTTTCATATTTGTTGTTTGTTGACACTACTGTTTGGCTGTGTTACAAATTGCAAATTTCCACAAAATCACTCTTCACAGTTTGAACAGTCTAACTTGTATTTCTAAACCACTGTTTCAAGATTCAGATTCTGTGCAACGCTCAGCATTCAAGTGTCAAATCTGTGTTTGCGGATCACAGTGTGTTTGCAGATCGCTTTGCGTTTAATTTTGACACTGGTTTACCACAGAGACTGTGACTACAATCAATAAGCCTTTCAAAATAAGAGCTGAAACGTGTCAGAATGTGAACGTCATCTACTCTGCATCTAATCCTGTGTGGACTTTGTTTGCGTTCATGTCCACAAAAACTTAAGTGCCAAATAATTCTCCCCCTTCATAGTTGCCTTTGTAATACAGTTAAATATTTATGTGCTACCACACAGGCAGCTGACCCAGTATACCCTTATGTATTTCATGTATTCATGTATTTTTTGCAATAGTAATGTAGTCTACTTTCTAACGATACCAAGAATTTTATTAGCACTCTAAGTGTCGCGTGCAATTATCCAGCACAGGTGACACTTTGTGTGAGTCAAGGACACCAGCTCAATACCTCTACTCTTCAGAGAGCAGACCGTTAAGTGTTGTGGTTTGGGGTTTTTGCATTATGGTTTCGGTTTTGTTATACTGCATTTCCAGGGTTATGTAGATTTTCTCTCTTCTTTGTATGAATGTTTACTTACTGCTTGTTCTTAGTTCCTGTCTCGGTGTATTATGTTTTCTCTCTGTCAGTTATAAATTCATTCATGTTTGCAGTTTATTTTGTTAAAGTTTTCCTTGTGCTTTTTGATGTGCACTTTACTTCTGGTTTTAAGTGGTTGTTCTCTCCCTTGTCTCTTGCCCTTGTTTTCCTTCCTGCCAGTGTTAATTCTCCCCCGATTGTCTTCACCTGTGCCTTGTCTTGTCACCTTCCACCTGGTTAGTTAGGTCTGCTTTTTCCTTTGACTTTGTTGGATTGTAAGTTACTAGTTGTTGAGGGTCTTCCATGTCCCCTTGGTTTGTTCCTTATTTTTGTGGATTATTGTTTCCTGTTTTGGTGTTCATTAAAATGATCATTTACTGCACCTGCTCAGTCTTTCTGTCCACACTTGACATAACTATACAAATTAGAACCGCAGGAGATAAGCCAGAGAGAGTTTGTGCTTAAACCCGATTTATACTTCAGTTACACAGTCGGGAGTGTATGACAATCTTAGCCTTATTCATTCAGTTGCAGTGGCTGCATGTCGCTGTTTCGACATTAAAATCCGTGGGCACTGAATAAGTGGTCATCAACTGACTTTCAAGAACTTCTTATCACTCCAAAAATACGATTAATTTATTTAATGCACTTAAAAATGTAAGCTAAAGTTGTAATAAACAAATTCATAGGAGCTGATCTTTGATTTTAGGAAGAAGGAGATAAAGACACACACTCCTGTCTACAGTGGAGCTGAGGTGGAGCAGGTGAACAGGTTTAGGTTCCTGGGAATCAGCATCACAGAGAACCTGACATGGTCGTCTCACATCTCCACGCTGGTGAAGAAAGTTTAGAAACGAGGAAGCTTAAGAAGGCCAAATTCCCACGCCAAGTTCTTGTCAGCGTTTACAGAGGAGCAACAGAAAGCATCCTGACTGGGAACATCACTAACATGGGATGTGCACGGCCCAGGACCGGAGGCTCTGCAGGGGGGGATTCAGACTGCTCAGAAGATCATTGGTACCCATCTCCTGAACATCAGTGATATCGGTGAGGTGAGGTGTCTGCAGAGCCCAAAGGATACTAAAGGACAGTACCCACCCAGCCACAGCCTGTTCACCCTGCTGCCTTCTGGGAAGAGATATAGAGGTTTCTGCTGCCGCACCACCAGACTGCAGAGCAGCTTTTTCTGTTAGGCTGTGAGACTTCTCAGCCGATCCTCTGCACTCAAGGCTCCAAAAGGGGGCTACAACTTTAAATTCATTGTGCAGCCCTGTGCTGTAGTATGACAAATGTACCTTGAACCTTGAAATGGTGTTGGACTTTAATAGACTGGAAACTGTGTAAGATGGTGACTGTGTTGAAAATGTATAACTCTACAAGATATGTATATATACACTTTAGATATGATGCATGGAGATTCATTCTTGACAACAGAATCGAATCTGGGGTAGAATATTATAAATGCACGGTTCATTTACTTTGCTTATTCTGGAGATTTTGACCATATTCCACAGCCCTCTTCCATGAATGTAAAGAAGTCTAGAATATTTCACTATAGATAACAATTTATTTTCTGCAAAATCAAAAGCTTTTATTCCAAATGTTTTCTTTCAATCCACTCCACTTTGGTAGCACCTTCTTATAAGGAACCGTTAATAGCTTAATTAATGATGAACAAATCATTTACTAATGATTTTAGTGTATTATTAGATTGTATACGTTAAAAGAAAATTGCGATTTCAAACTTCTCAATGATATATTAAAACCCAACAAAAGTTGCTTCTGTCTACTGTCAACATACCTGGTTGACAGCATCAGGCCAATTCTGTGTCTCCAGACAGAAGGAACTGTGCTTCCTGTACCTGGCCCCGCCCTTTCCTGTCATGGAGCCATCCAGGAAGTTGGCAGTGTAGAACTGTACTCCTGGTTGGCTGGTAGAAACCTCCAGGACTCGGCCACTGGCTGGGTGACACACTCTGAGATGGAGAAAGAGGTTTTCCTACCAGGCTTTAAAGGCACTGCTCTGTGTGTAAGTGTGTTTGGGAGAAAATGACTTCTGCAGCAAACCTGGCAGCATGCCTCTCCACCCAGGCGTCTCCAGGTGCTGACAGGCAGAAATTGTGGTCAAACCCTGGACCTGGAACGTCCTTCAGCCGAGGGCCAATAAGAACAGACTTTCTGAGGTCAAAGGGCGTGCCTTCCACTCCTCTGATCTCTCCTGTGGATAGATTAGGTTACTGAATAGTGTATAATTTATCATTGAACAAATGTTAGATAATGAGATGTGGTCCATTGACTAAAAAAAAATAGTGAGAAACCTCAGTAATATGAAATAGCATCACCATGGGAGTCCATTGGTTAATCAGCTGGTGGTAGTGTTGCATTGGAATGAATGGAAGGCTATAAATAACAAATGACATCTAACACCATTACTTAACTGAGGACCCCTTTTATTCTGTATCTGCATCTATAGCAACAAGCATCACTGGGTCCCCTACCAAAACAACAGGGCAGTGATTGTGATGATAATCATATCATGTCACTGCTTTGACAAATTAATTCATCAAAGCAAACTCATTCAAACAAAAGGTTCCATCACTGTCCCTCTGAACCTGTAGCAGATGGACGTACAATAAGTGGGATTGTGCGTATGTTTGAAAAGTACCAACTTTCTTGCGGCTACGGGCATTTCTTTTACACCACTTCAAAATGGTGTTCTATGCACATTTTGATCAAGGAGGCTCCAGGTTAGGGTTCAGGTTTGACCAAGCTGCTTGAGCACCAACTGCCCTTGAACACGGTCAGTTACTCTGCAGTGCCAGCCTGACACCCCTCCATTCAGTTTCTAAGATGTTTCATGTTAACCAGCATTTTTTTTCCAAGCTGCTGCACTGCAGTGTAAATATTTTTAGCTCTTTTTTCTTTCACCTTTTATTTAACCAGGAAGTCCCTTGAGATTAAAATCTCCTTTTCGAGACCTGGCCAAGATAGCCTAACACCACAAGGTGAAAAAATTATAAAACAGAGCATTCGAAAACAGACAACAGAACTTTTTGCCACTGACAGGCTCAGACTGTCAAGGATCCCCACGAGGGACTCTCGGTGACTCCCTTTGTTTTTAACAGGGAACAGAAGTCTCACTCAAGCACATTTCTCGCTCTGAAATCTCACGAGAGGCGAGTTGCTGCAAGACGACGGTAGAAACCTGAGCCAGAGTTACATATAAGTTTGTTGTGTTGGAGTAGCATTAGGAAAAAGTCTTGCAAAATCTTGCTTGTAGTTCCTCAATTTACAACAAACTCCTCTACCTCGTTCCCATCAGCGTTTCCTGAAACAGCTCACTTCTCACGAGTTCTGCTGTGTATTCAGCTGTACTACCATTGAGAACCTTAGAGGGGAGTGAAGGTTGTCATCTTACCTTCACTGCCGCACAGCCCCTCAGTGGGTCGCTTATATCATTGTACTGAACCCACACTATCAGATTTATACCATTTAGGAGAAGCTCTATTTTTTACGTCACATCTCTCACCTTCAAACTATCCTGTTGGGGATTAACAGTCAGGAAGCTCAGTGGCTGGGAAAATAGGCAGGGCCAGCTTGTTAATACTTGAATAGATCCTTCTACTTTTGACTGTGCATGACAGAGAATTAATTCAATATTTTTAAGTTTTGTTCTAATTCAGCCTTTGAGGTGGATTTCCATTCTAACACAGATTCTGTGATATAAATAAAGAGTCATTAGCTCCTCTGTCTCCAGGGGAAACCAAAGCTAATTGGAGAGTAATGAGCATGTTTGTCTGACAGAGCCTGAAAGAACACACTCCCACACAAAAGGACAGGTGGTCATACTTCTACAGTTCTGTATTAACAGTGATCATGGCAAACACATGTGATAATTCAAGTTTATACAGTACAAACCACACAGTAAAGATAGATTCAACATACACACAAAGTAAATGAGTACTAAAGAGACAAGGACACAAAGACAGAGGCAGAGCCGGGTAGACTGTGGCACAGGGAACACAAAGAGTTCAGGAGAAAAAGAGCAATCGGCTGTGGAGTTGAAAGACAAGAGCTTGCTGTTGGAGAAAAAGTTCTAGCAGAGGCTGTTTTTCTTTCATTATTAACACATTATTATTATCTAATAATCTTTTACCTGTAGGAATTGATGTGTCATCCACAGGCAGGTAGGATTGAGCAGTGATGGACACTTGATGGTCATAGATATCTGTAGCACCCTACACACACACACACACACACACACACACACACACACACACACACACACACACACACACACAGTACTGTACTGTAGTGACACCATCAGGGCAAAAATCAAGAAAAATGGATGTATTGGTTTTAAGCCGTCCTCTTTGGAAAGTCCATCAGTTGACTTCATTGTGTCCTGACTAAAATGTTATAACTTGTAATGAACATTATAATGATATGTGAATTCCTCAATTGCCTTATGATTTTGCTACAGTAGTTGTTAGTTGAATTTAAGTACTTACTCCTCTGAAACTACAAATGCAGCATCCTCTGCCTTACAGCTGAAATAGTTGCAGAGCTGTGTGATAAGAAACAGCCTGCCTGCTTTACTAACCAACCTCATCTTTCCATTGTATTCTCTATCTCTGCTTTTCCTTTCTCTAGAATTCCTTTGATCTACATTAAAGATAATCATAATTAATGGTGAATTAAAAGAGTAGCCCTCTCTCATATTTCTCTTTCCTCCTGTTTTCCTTCCACCTCTTCACAACAGATACAGCGGTGAGATATTGGATGATGATACAAGCTGATCATGAGCCCTTACCTGTCCAGCCAGGTTGAAGTAGGAGTGGTTGGTGAGATTGATGGGGGTGGTTTTTGTAGACCGGGCATGGTATTCAACAGTTAGTGTTTCCCCCTGAACACACAACTCAAATTTTACTGAACTGGCATCTGCAAACCATTTTTTTAAATATGCAAAATCAATTAAATGGGATCATCCAAGATCGTTTAGTTTAAGCAAAAGTTGTTTGGTTTCCATTAAACAGAATCATTCATGAGCAACACTCTCCAAGCAGATCGCCACAGCCAAAAGCAAACCTCGGTTTCAAAATAAAATAAAAAAATGTTTGGGATGCTTCGAGAGTGATCAGCCAGAGCTGTTAAGTTATGAATCAGGTGTGTTTACCTGTACGGTGTAGGAGACAGAGACCTGAACCTCGCCAGGATAACCCTGGTCTCCATCTGGACTAGTATGACTCAGCTTTACACCACCTTCCACGGCTGTAGCAAGCCAGATAGCCTGAAGAGATAAAAGCATACATGCTGTATAAACAAAAGCATTAAATGGCAACCGTTTAGTTTAGTTTTTTTTGCTTTTGCATTTTTTGAGCCGCGTTAGTGGCATGGCAATGTCAGCCTGTTGGTTGGTCGGTCCACCACACGCCCAAACTGAAATAATAAAAACTAAACAAACAGCTGTTGAATGGATTGCCATGAAATTTGGTATAGCCATGCGTGATCACCAGGGGATGAATCTTGTTGACTTTGGTGATCCCCTGACGTTTTTCTCTCTACATCTCATCGTCTACTAGATGGATTGGCACTAGACATTCATGGATCCCAGAGGATGAATCCTTATTACCCTAAACATTATTTTCCTGTAGTGCCATTATGAGGCTGACATTTCAGGTTTTGAGTGAAATATTCTATTATTATTACATTATATATATTATTAACTATTGGATGGATTGCCATGACATTTGGTAATAAGATGTCCCTCTCAGGATAAAGAATTTTGCATTTAGCTCAAAGCATCCCTGTCCCTAAATACAGCCTCACAGAGCTGCTAGCATGGCTGACAATAAAAACATAAATTATAAAATAAATCAGTAGATGAATATGAGGTTTAATCTGAAGTTATAGGAGCAAATTTGTTCTACATGGATCTACATGGAACATTCATCCTCAACATAGATCAAAATGTCTATGATGTCTGTGTGCTCTTGTTTAACACAACACAAAGGGCGTGACTGAATGTAAAGAAACAATGTAAAGCAACATTTACGCCAAGTAGTGTTTGCTTTAGTTCTGGTTCTTTGGGCAGGTGAGAAATAGGTGTAATCTGTAGCAACAAGTTGTAGCACAGAGAGAGTACAGTACACCACTACAGCAAAAAACCCACAATGGATTATGGGTATTATGGAGATAGTTGTCTGACCATTCACTATGCTTGCAAAGCCCAGCATAACAACATAAGCTCTGTGGGTGGATGCACATTTCCCTCACCGTGTTCTTACTGGTATGAAAACTAATGTTAAGATACTTTGATCCTGTAGCAACTCATATTATGACTTTATTTAGAAACCCTCATTTACCTGAAAAAGAATTGAATAAGTCCCTTAAGACTCTCCAGTTGATCCAGAATGCTGCAGCACATGTACTGACAGGAGAACTAGGAAAAGAGATCACATTTCTCCCATATTAGCTTACTTTCATATTAGCCACAAGAGCACTGCGCTCCCAGAATGCAGAGATACTTGTGGTTTTAGAGTACCCAAAAGTAGAATGGGAGCCAGAACCTTCAGTTATCAAGCTCCTCTCCTGTGGAATCAGGTCCCAGTTTGGGTTCAGGAGGCAGGCTGAACCATCCCCTAGTTATGCTGCTATAGACCTAGACTGCGGGGGGACTTCCCATGATGCACTGAGCTCCTCTCTCCTCCTCTCCCTCTCCATCTGTAAGCACTCTTATGCCATTAATGCACGTTACTAAGTCGACTTCTTCCCTCTTCCCCTGTGCTTTCTAGTCCCTCTCCTCTCTCCTTCTGTTGCTTTCTGCAGGTGTTTGTGGCTCCAGAGCTGTGGTGTCTGGATCTGTGGTTGCGGGCTTCCTGTTGCACCCATGTTCCTGCTCGACACCTATTGCTACAGTTATTATTATGTCCTGATATTAATAGTTAATATTGATATTATTAGTATCATTATTCATTAATTTTTACCTGTATCACTACCACCATCACTATTGTTCTATATCTCTATGAGGATATTGCATTGGGCTATTTTTCCACTCAGGTTCTATAGAACTTGCTGTAAGCTTTCAATAAGCTTAATCAAGTTAATGATGCACAAACACATATTCACTTAGTCTTACCTTATTGAAGCCATACAGCCCCCCATGAAGTGCATTGGGTCCATTATTGACATCTAGCTGGAACTCTTTTCCCTCCACTACAAAGCGTCCCCGTGCAATTCTGTTGGCCACACGGCCCACTGTAGCTCCCAGGTATCGCTTATCTGACACATATCCTGACAACACAACACACAACAACACAGGTTATTCTTATCTACCTTCACCAAAGTAATGCCTGGCTTACATTCATCTCATTTGCTCTGTCTCTGCTCTTTCCAGAAGCATCACCACCTATTGTTCTATCAAATGCAGAACACAGGCTGGCATTACAATAAAGGTTTATCAGCTTGTGTTCAAGTGCTGCCCAAAATGCTTTTACTAAAATTCAAAACAAACTCTGTTGCTCTGGCATGACATAATGCAGCGTCTCAATTCTGAAACTCTTCTACCAGAATAACAGAACTATGTCATACATATTATTTAAATTTTAAAAAAGCAATATTATGTTTGCATGATTTGAACGTGATCATCATTGCAATTTGTTGAACTAATAATAAAATATATATATAATAAAGAACATGGGGTTATATACACTCACCATGCATACTGATGCAAACATTTTCTGTTTAATTTCTGAAAGCCACACATAAGCATCTCTTTAATAGAAAAGTGCCTTCATTTCTACATTGCAGTTCTATGATTAGAGAATTTTCCCTGCCTGGCCTGAAAAATCTGATTACAGTGCAACAAACATCCATTTCAATTATTATCTAATTCTGAAATCTAAACATTCCCTTCATTTTTAAAGCAGTCTAGTGCTATGTGAGAAAGAAAAAGTTCCTTCCTACCTTCCAGGTCATCATAGCCCAGGACTACATCATCCTCCTGACCATCTTTCCCTCTGGTGCACACAGACCTGATGATGGCACCCAAGGTGAGAACCTCCACGCGCACCTGGGAGGACTGCAGGACCCACAGGTCCACACTGCCCAGGCCGGACACCTCTCCCCACTGCTGATGGCTTACCTGAGTCATCTTGGACCTTACAACAACCACGACAGGGCAGTACAGAACAGGACATAACCCTTCATATTACATTTATTTAGCTGACGCATTTATCCAAAAACACTTACAGTAAGTGCATTTCAAACATGTGGATACAACCCAAAAATTGCAAGAATCATGCAGGTACATAACTGCTTCAAGTGCTACTAGAAAGGTTACATCTGCATTGAGTAACAGGGTTGTTAAGGATATTCTGACTGACCCCACCACATTACTTACAGGCTAACTTTTTGACTGTATGATTATGTGGAGGCTATAAAAATGCCAGACTTTTGTGCTGCCGTTGGATGTTCTAATGAGAGAAAACCCAATACCACACAACAGGGATTTTACAATAATTAGCAGATTTGAATGTCTTAAATTTGAAATATCTCAATAGTAAGCCTTCTTTATAGCTAACAAAGTTAAGTGACTTTCCTGATACAAACAAAAAGCAACCTTATTTCAAACAGAATAATAATTGGTTGAACCATGATAGAACCAGGATTTAAACATTTTAGGACTGCAATGAGGCAAAAAAAAAAATCAAACAATTAAAATAATACAAAAACAACAGGAAATTAAAATACCTATAACAATCATAATAAAACAGATAAGACAGGTTGGAAATAATATGGTATGCTAGCATTAATAAACTGTGTTACTGTGTACTGTATATCAGTAAGATGCTGAAAAGTACATTTATAAAAACAGTTTTGTTGTTCTAGTTATTATGGTGTTAGGTTTCATGTGCTAACATGACATCCAGTCACTTATGTGCCTGAACTGTCGCTACAAAAGTAACTTACCTTACTGTTACACTGCAACTCTGCACACCCTGCTGATACTGATAAGTCTCATTTTTGTAAAAAAAAAATAAAAAAAAATGTATGACTTAAAATGTAAGTGAGCAGAATATGACTATTTCACTACTTTAAAAAGAATCCTGAAGCATGCCAGAGGTCTTTATATATCTTCAAAATTATAAACAAAATGCTATTTTATGATGCATTAAGACAAAAGAAAATACTTATGAACTTATAAACTAATTATGTTGGGTAAGTTCATCTGAAATATTATCCAGGCCTATAGCCTATATAAATATTATTATTGCTATTGCTATCTACAAACGATAGTAGCCATTTTGGTGTGAAAACCAACATTTTTAATAGTAAAAAAAAGTTTCCTTTATCATAAATACATGTCCAGCAAACTGAACGAGTTATGATGATTTATGTGGTGTACAGTAATTAAGAAGGCTACATACTCAAGAACTATAAGCACAATTTTGAGGTATTTACTTTTCATGCCACTTTCTACACACAAGACATATGAAGACTTAATAAAATATGTTTTGTTATAAATTAAACCACTCAACATTTTATACAAGTAGCCTACAGCTGACACAATTATTAGATTGACATTGAAATTAACTGGCAAAAACTTTGATGGTTTCACCTTCATCAATGTGAGGATTAGCTGCTTTTCCTTTTAATTATTTTAATTGATTTGTAGCCTATTAATGAGCTTTGTACTGTTGGTTAGACAAAGTAAGCACTGTGAAGGTGTCACCATGGGCTCTGGCTCATTGTGACGGCATTTCTCACTATTTTCAGAATTTCGAAAATCGATTAATAATTAGAACATTAATCCATAATGAAAATAATCACGGCAATCCGATACAAAATAGTTAGAAATGAGCCCCCCGTCAACAATTACAATAACCTACTTTTACTTTGGTTACAATTTCATTTACACTGTTATATTAGTAGTTTTACTTCAGTAAAGGATCTGGATCCTTCATCCACATCTGCTGGGAACACAGACGTTAAACTTTGGCAAGAGTCGAGCACCGGTGTGTTCACTGCTTGCTAAGTGTCCAGTTAGTTTACTGCCAACCAACACACCTGTAATCAACGAATATAACAAATGTATCGATAACGAGCTGCGGTTCATTCTACTGTCTCTCACCTCAAAACAGTTCACCAAGTCATAAGATTTTGGACTTTGACATGTTTACATCCGACTTCCTTCTTTTTCTTCTTTCTCTTATTTGGCGGCTCGAAAACCAACGTAAAAGGCGCATACCGCCACCTACTGTATCTTCTTCTTTTTTCATCTTGTAGAGGGTGGCAAGCATTACAGGTGTAGTGTGGACCAGAATTAGCCTATCTATGAAACAAAAACATACAAACATATTTCACTGAGCACTAAATTATTTTGATCAGCCCAGTTTCTTCTTTCAAATTATAGAATCGTCTCCCTAACCTGATGGCAAATTTCTCTTCCACTCCAAGCTTCCTGATTTCCGTCGTAAACGTTTCTCACTCTGGAGAATATTTTAGGAGTAAAAATGACATGCTGCACTGATTCCTGTGTACTGGCCACATAATCCTGAGGTATGTTTGATTATTACGTGCAGTGTTTCATTAAGTCTGGTATGTCCTGCCCTCAGCCTTGTTAAGATGTTCTCCTCTTTGGTGCTCCTTCCAGCTGCCCTCACTGTGCCCACTTCTCGCTGTAGGCCTATTGTACTGTGTTTCCTGCAGTATCCCATCTGTGCTGCCACCTTTTAAGGATGCTTCTTTTGCTTCATGGAGTGAAATGTCCATGTCCTGCTCATGTTTCAGAGCCTCTTTTGCAAAAGCATCAGTTTTATTACCCTTACTTCCTATGTGAGCGGGTATCCATATAAATATATCAAAACATTCATATTTTTAAATCCACAGTATACAGTTCCTATATCTCATTAACTATATCCTGCCTATTGTGAGATGTAAATGACTGCAATGACATTAATGCAGAGAATGTACAAAGATTAACCTTTTTGATTCTAGATTCAGTTATCCACTGCCTGAATATACTGGAATACTAAAAAGAAAAAACCTGTGCTCCCTGTGTTAGGAGCAGTACCGGGCAATGGGCTAAGTCAGCAATCAGCAGAGCAGAGCGACCACAGTGAAGACAGTGAAGTGAAGATAACTCTAAGATGACTCGAGATGACAGCCAGTTGTTTGTCGCCCTGCTCCTCTTATGTTGCATTCCATCACAGCTGCTCAAGGCGGGTTTGTTGTTGCTGATCCAGGTGTCATTTCTGAACTGTGGGACAAACCCTGGCCATCTCAGTTAAATACCACCCTTGAATCCAGACTGACAGGGTTCTTGCAGGTTGTGGGCAAGTGTATAGAAAAGACAAGTGAAAATAAGGTTAAATTGATTAGGAAGTTTTTGATGTCTGTTCTGTCCACTGTTTTTTCTTAATTGAGTTGTTTGACAGTGGCATATTTGAGAGCAGTGGGAAGTGTCCTGAGATCACAGTTGGGAAAGGGTAGGGAGGATCGATTTTTTGCATGTTTGGCATATGTGCATGTTTTTGCTTCACCTTATGAATTTAAATTACAAGCCCAATATGTACTGCAGTAGGAGAAGTTTAAATAACCCCTTTGTACAAGTTGGTTAGGTAGTGACTTTATGCACTACTCTATATGCATCTCAATAATGTGTCTCATCTTACTTTATTTAAAGGCATCATTTTCAATCCTGATCTGTTGAGAGAAACAAATCACCCTTAACTAATAATATGTCAATATTTTGCTGAGAATGAAAAAGAAAATAAATTAATTAGACAACAATTGGGGGATGATATTGCATAACTTTATTCTGTAGATCAAAACTCAAAAAATGTCAAATATGCCCTCTCTGAAAAATATACAGATTTGTGATATACTTATGTATATAGAGTATACTGTATGTAAATACAGACGGTACATGAAACATTAGAGTGAACTGTTACCTCATGTCCATTGCCAAATTGTTCACATTATACAGAACACACATGTTCACCCTATACCTATGATTAAATTATTTTATTGTAGTGGACCAACTATAAATTCATATAGAATTTCTTAGAGCACTGTTGTGCTTATTGTATTAGAAGTATTGTATATACAAATGTTTAATGTTGCAGTTCAACATGTTGTGAATGGGGCTTCAGTAGGATTCCAGTCAGTCAGTGAGGAATAAGAGAACTGCTTTTCTCTGTTCTGTTATGTTTGCTGTATAATATAAATCATGAAGCTTCCTTTACAGAGGAGTCTTCGCCGTTTCTATTGCTGTTATGCTAGAGCCACATGGGAAAGCAATATGCTAAATGGTCAACACTGCTTGTGCTCTGATTAAAGATGTTAAAGAGTAGCTTAAAATCAGGCTGAAAAGCAATGTATGTTTTCTTTGTGGTTCAAGGTTTCAGGTCTGTTGAAACTCTGATCACACACAATGGTTCTAAGATAAGACGTCTTGACGTAGCCTGTTTTCAAAAGTAATTTCATCTGGTGATCAGAACAATCATGATAGATTATAACGTTTGTAAATAAGTAGAAACTTACACAGAATTTGCAAATAGCTTCTGCCAATAAGTTAATTCCTACAGACTCTCCCACTCCCCTCAATAATACTGCATGTACAGAACAACAACCAGGTTTATGGGCTGATATTTGTGTCAGTAGAATCTGAATTTGAATTATTTAAATCTGAATTTGAATTGCTCAACTTGAATAATCGCATTAATAATAATAATAATAATAATAATTAATAGAATAGTTTGAATTTGTATTGTTTAACTTGAATAATTGCCTTGAAAAACTGAATCTGAATAGAATAATTTGAAATTGAATTTATTAGTTTGAAATTAAATTCCAATAAACTTGAAACTGAATGTAATATTATGAAACTGAATTCAGATGCAACTGAAACTTTCAGTTCTCTTAATTCAAATTCACTTCTCTCATTTCAATTTCAATCCACAAGATTCAGTTTCAAGGTCACAGACAGTTCAAGGTTCTTCAGGAAGAGCAATCGAGAGCAGATCAAGCATGCATTCTTTCCAACAGCCAGCAGGGGGCGACTCCACTGCAAAAAAAAAAGTCCAGTTCCATCGAGTAGTATGTAGCTGCAGTACCAGAGGCTGCAGTTTCAGGAACGGAACTACAATATTAGGACCCTTATTTACTTTGATACTGCCAGCTAGCTGGCTGGCTGTATCAAAGTAAACAAGGGTCCTAAAATTGTAGTTCCGGTCCTAGGATTGGGGTTCTGAAACTGCAGCCTCCGGTACTGCAGCTGCATAATACTCGATGGAACTGGACTTGTTTTTGCAGATTGCTCTTCCTGAAGGCCCTTGAACTGTCTGTGACCTTGAAACTGAATCTTGTGGATTGAAATTTAAATGAGAGAAGTGAATTTGAATTAAGAGAACTGAAAGTGAAAGTACTTAAAAAGTTGAATTTTTAGTGAGGCTTAAATACAGTTTCAGTTGCAACTGAATTCAGTTTCATAATATTACATTCAGTTTCAAGTTTATTAGAATTCAGTTTCAAACTAATAAATTATTCTATTACGATTCAGTTTTTTAATGCGATTATTCAAGTTAAACAATACAAATTCAAACTATTCTATTCAAATTCATTTTTAATGTGATTATTCAAGTTGAGCAATTCAAATTCAGATTTAAATAATTCAAATTCAGATTCTTCTGACACAAATATCAGCCCATAAAACTTAGCCTGTGATTTTATTTTTCCACTGGAGTCATTAAAATGAAATAGAATACCTTAGGTCAAACAATATTACAGCACAATCCCAAAATTGCCACTTGTATGTTACTCTGCAAGAGAAATGTTAATCCTTGGATTTATAGTCATGACACCTCTAGCCATCAAAGTTGATGGACAATGTTTCCAGATGTTGAGTTTGCAATGTTAAGATAATGACCATCTGCCCAGAGATTTCACCAGTGTTTTGTTGCTGTTTTAAATTTCCCCAGATGCAAGCAAATTCATTTTCATTATTTTTAATGTAGCTGTTTGATTTTCATAAAACAGACCTCAGGTGATTAAAATGGTCAAACCATCAGCAAAAAACAGTCAAAGTGTGGACACATGAGGCTACAGCAACTAAACAGGACTCTTCTGAGTGCACATGTTCAGAGACGTTACCATCCAGGAGAACCACATCAATTTTGAGGAATATATATCATTAGTGACATCATACATCAGCAAATGTGTTGATGATGTGGTGATCACTAAGATGATAAAATCCCTTCCCAACCAGAAAGCCTGAAAGAATAGCCACTGCCAGTATCCACAGCAGATGTGAGAAGAATCCTGCTGAGAGTGAATATGAGTAAAGCTGCTGGGCTTGATAGCATCCCTGGATATGTAGTAAAAACCCGTTGCAGTCAGCTAGTTGATGTTATTACTTTAATTTCCAACATCTCACTGTCTCAGTAGAGGGTTCCCAGCTGCTTCAAGACAGCCACCATCGTTCCTGTACCTAAAAGTCTGCAGTGTCTAGTCTGAACGCCCTGTGGCTCTCAACCCCATTCCGATGAAGTGCTTTGAGAAACTGGTTCTTCGGCAGTTTGCTTTCAGAACCAACAGATCCACAGAGCATACCATCGCCACTGCCCTCCACTCAGCCCTCACACACAAAGAAAGCTCAGAAATGACTATATTTTGTAAGTAAATGTTAAGGCAAAATTCCCATCCTGACTGGAAACATTACAAATTGGCAATGGGATGTGCACGGCCCAAAACAGGAGGGCTCTGCAACGGGTGATTAAAAACCCCAGAACATCATTGGTACTCATCTACCTAGCATCAGTGATATCGGTGAGGTGAGGTGCCTAAAGCGCCCAAAGGATACTAAAGGACAGTACCCACCCAGCCACAGCCTGTTCACCCTGCTGCCTTCTGGGAAGAGATGTAGAAGTTTCACTTTGCCGCACCACCAGACTGCAGAGCAGCTTTTTCTGTCAAGCAGTGAGACATCTCAACTCCACCTCTGCCCTTGAACCAGGGGGACTCCAGAATTTCACTGTCCAGCCCTGTGTTATAAGATGACAAATAAATCTACCTTTTCGATGCAGAAAAAGAAAATGCTTTTTGCTGTCAGTTTGTATTGTTCATAATCTGGGTGCACTTTCAAACAATTTTTCTGAAATGTTTGGGACTCTTGAAATTCACACGATATACTTGCAGCTGAGCCTCTACTAAATGTTGACAGTGGCTGGCATGCTATCTGTATAAACAATTTGCCCTAATATTTTTGACCCTATACTAGTGAGCCAACACTTAGCCAAATGTTACACCTTTAACCCAACTTCTCTTGAGGAAATATGTCATTATATGGTTTATTCCTTCTGTGAACAGAAAAATACAGTCTTGGTCGTCTTCAATTAGTAATTATTGCCACAGAACAGGTGACATTTTAGAGGCCAATTCAGTATTTAGCAGTATCTGTGCAGTGGACTAAATGATGTGATTGAATAAGCTGGATAAACCCATACAGCAGATGAGATCCTTTGTCGGTGAAGTGTGCTGGTTTAGCTGGTGTCACTGAGAATGGCAAGAATGGAGCTGGCCTGTGTGGCAAGTTTACTGCTGCTATGATCTGTCAGTTTACTGAGGCTTTCCTTCATATTCACAGAGTTCAACTCCTCCTTCATCACACCTAGAGCAGACAAGGATGGAAAGAAGAAGAGAGAGAAGTGTAAGATGGAATGCAATTAATAGTGGAGGTAAAATGTGCAGAGTATTCTTCGAATATCTGTGTGTGTGTGTGTGTAAATGTGAATGTGGGTGTTGTATATGAGAACTGTGAGTTCCATGATAATATTGTGGTCTCAATAGTTAGTTTCAATACGTCTAAATGTGTTTTCGTGACCATTTTATGAATGAAAGCTTCATCATTTAGATATTAAAGTTGAAAGAGAAGTATGGTGGCTGCTGCTTGCTTGTCCCTTCTCAGCTTCACCCAGCCTCCTGTGAATCGAGGTGCACGTTGTCAAACACCAATTCAGAAATCTGTGGATACCAGTGACTGTACATCTGTTTTGCTGCAGCCTATGATTGGACCACTCCATTTTAGAGTCAGTTCTAAGGGAAGACGAATATAAACTGCCCTTCAGTCCTGGACTTTGGATAGATGATTACAGCTGTTTCTTCTATCTGGAAACTTGCTCAACCCCACTCCAAATGATATTCTAGCTATCATAGCACCTAAACACATTTGTTTCATTTAATTTATTTTGCCTAATGAGACCATCTCTCAGAGTACAGACCAACAGACAGATGAATCCTCTCTGGAAGCAAGCATTGTTTCTAAAATAAATGCTTATAGTCAAAGAAACAGGGACTTCCAGTCCAAGCTTTTAGCAAGATAGAAAGTATAGTTAGGGCTCCACTTGATAATTAATGTCCTCCACCTGCTGCGTGACAACCATAGACTATATTTTTTGGTAGTTTTTCTCACAGTCTAAAACATCTTGACATTTGTGGTGGAGCAGGATTTCTTTGAATGTGTGTTGTAAAATCAAACACATACTGGAGTTAGCCAGGCTGCAGATGAGACCCAAAGCACTGAACTTGACTTCGATGGCCCCTGCAGGATCCTCCAACATCTTCTTCAGCATGGGCAACAGGTCCGCATCCTTAAATGGATTCTTCATAGACTCTGTAGTGTCAAACACACACACACACACACACACACACACACGGTAAATACACATGTAAAAACATTTCTAAATTTAAATAATTTCATTCAAAATTTGAAGATGTCATATCATATACCTTAACTGATTTGTACTGTGTCATGAAATAAACCAAACTAGTCAGCATTAACAAGTGGTTTGTCCAAGTGTAATGTTTGGTGTAGGACATTGGCTCCACTTAAGGCTTTTGCATTCCCTCGCAATGTTTTGTGTTTTCTTGATACTGTACATTCTTCCTCTACAGGTCTACATTAGTGGAATCAAACAACTGAGATACAACCGCACCTGACTTCTTCTTTTTGGCAAAATGCATATCGACATCAGTTGGTTCTTATGAATTGCATTGTAGATACGTGAAACCAATTGATTCCCCCAATCGATAGGCTACTCCTGAGAGTCCAGAGAGGCTTATGCATTATACTCTGTGTATACCAAAATATCTCAACAACTCCATGAATGACAAATCAAGCTCTGTATGTCACATCCAGAGAAGAGCAGTGTTCCAACATAGAAGCAATGAACAGTTATTGATGATATTTGTAAGAGCTGATAGCAAGACCACCAACACATTTCATCATTTTGAGTTTCCTGTACCTTTAAACATCATCTTCATTGTGGTTGGAAAAAAAATCAGTTGTCAGTACAAAGTATATTTCATGGGAATGCAGAAATATTGCAAGAGAATTTAGATCCGGCCCATTCGAGGCTTGTTATCACATCAACAGTTAAAGCTGACAAATTTCCTCTGGCATGAGGGGCCTATAGAGTGACACTGGGGCCCGTATTTATCAAGCATCTCAGAGTAGTAAAATCTGTCCTAATTGGCCAAACATGCCATTTTGGTCCTACTTCTAGGCTTAGGAGTGATGATATTCTCCTCCTTCTGGGTTTAGAAGAGCTGCAGAGCTGTCACATTTAGTTACAGTCAGGCATGTTGAGTGATTCTGACATGCTTGATAAATTCGGGCCCAGAACTTTTGACTTAACATAGTCTCAAAAATTGCTTTACCAATGTCAGTGGCAGATGCTATCGCCAGGGCAACCAGGGCCTCGTTCTGCATGATCACATGCTCACTTGTTGCCATGGAGATAAGGTGTCGAACCCCATCTGCTTTGGCTACAGCATGGACAACTTCCTATCAGAGAAAGGAAATCAGCAACAGCATTACAGATGTGCAGCGTATGTGTGTGCATAAACACTCCAACACACTGGGTATGATTCCCGAGAAGAAAAAAAAATGATGTTTTAGTTCCAACATATGCTAATTTTGCATCAGAATAAACTGACTCACAGGACTGCGGCTGTGTCTGATGAAGGCAGCCAGAAGGCGGCTGGCTTCTCCTCGGACTCCTGCGTGGTCTTTGGCTTCACACCACTCCATGACCCGAGCCAGCAGCACAGCATCTCTACCCAGCACCAAGGCTGCCTCCTCTGACACACACAGCATAACAGAGAAAAGGAAAAATACATTTAAAAATGTTAAAGGGGTGAAATGTAGTTTTTAAATGAAATTAATCATGTTTATATTGTCTATTTGTGAATAGGCTGTAACCTCACATAACAATGAAGCATAGATTTTTTGATGGGGTCCATTAACACCAAAAAACGACTGGCTCCCATCACAACACAAAGAATAAAAACCAACAAAAACGTTTTAGGTGCTGAAGCCTGGCATACCAAATGAGAATCTGATCGGCGTTGAGGCAAAAGCACGGGTCAACATCGGAAAGGCATTGAGTCGTGGAGAGACCGCCGCATTGTTTCGGATATAAAAATAAATCCAGAATTGGTTTTCATGCTATTGGACAGGTAAACTAACATTACTGTAAAGCATTTGAAATACATTGTTATTTTTGGCTCAAGTTAGAAAACGTTAGCTTGCTGGTTAACGCCAACCAGTTGCTAATGTTATCCAGTACAAAATAAACAAAACAATAGTGACAAATGGCAGGGGCAGCCAGCTACATTAGCATGGATCTGATGTTGTTGGCTTCGTAATTTAGATTTATTGTCATTTACTTATACTCAGTTACACAGCTTCTTCACCAGTCTCAGCTGCTGTTACTTACGTGACCCACATAATATACAAAAAGGCAACATAACGGTTCAGGACAACAACACAGTGGACGACCCATTCACTACAGGAACACTATATTATTATACTAAAGTGTTGCAACAATCTCATTTATAATATTCAGTCTAGCTCACTAACCACTAGCTGTGCTCACATTGCTGAGCCTCTCTGGTGAACGATACACAACGACGTATAATTTCAGCTAAATGAAGTCAATGTAAAATTATCAAGCAAGGAGCACTTGTAATGTTGCAGTGGGAGTTTACTTGAGTTTGATGAATTTTGTGTAAGGCTGTTTGGGTGTTTCGGTGTGTTTTAGCTCACTCATTAATTCGAGCACAAGCATGAGCACATGCTTGGGAAGGTAGTGGTTGCAATCTCAAACCCCACCGCTAGAGGCCACTGAAAACTACACACAGCCCTTTTAACAGAGAAAGGTGTAAAACCAAAGGCAACTGGGAAATATGACCACAAGATGCCACAGAGTTATACAGGGCGGAAATAAACAGACCACTGACATAGAAAATGTCAGATTTTTCCTGTGGATGGTGTTCACCTTAGGCTCTGGAAACTTGTGACGGGCATTTTTTAAAACTATTTTGTGGTATTTTACTGACCAAAGTTTTACTATCCATGGAATGGATAAATTAATGAAAAATGTTGAGGTAGTACTTCTAACTGAGGACAGTGAATGATTGGGTCTCTATCCCTCTCCCTCTCTCTGTTTGTGCTCTGATTACAGAGTAGAGTCAGGTGTGCAGGAGTCAGGCCACCAGCTGCCAGTCATCATTATCACTGTGCTCTGCTTCAAATTCCCGGTTCCTGCCTTAACACACTGCCAGATTGTATACTCAGCTAGCTAGTCAGTCTTGCTGCAGCTTTGTGCAGCCCCCCCCCTCCCCCCGGTGCCTTGCAGTATTCCTGCCTGTACCTGCCTCTGCTCCACTCATGTTTGTTTTGGACCCTGAACCCTTATCCCTGGATCTCTGGGCTCTCAAACTGGATCGGACTTCACTCTCTGGATCTCTGGACTTCACCTGCCTGATAACACTATCAGCTTTCCTGCCTGGCTGCCCTCTCTCCTCTGGCTCACTGCTCAAACTTGGAACTCCCTGGAACCATAGACTCTGCCCAACACTCACTTTTCAAGTATTAATTATCAATTATTAATAAAGCCTTCTTTGCTCAAATTACCTGACTCAGTCTTCTGTGTTTCTGCTTTTGTATTCTCAGCATTGTGATCAAGCTGACATTTTGGCCTGAGGGTGGAGCTAAGGCAAGAAGTCATGAATTGTATCCCAAGTTTCTAGGGATGCATCCACTTTTCCCTCACTTGTGTCTTTTTGCTTCTTGGTCCCTCCCACCAGGGATGCAAGGAGAGAAGAATTAACGAAATGTCATTAAGAGAAATAAGACGTCTTTTCCTCTGAAGCGACAGCAGTTTGTGATGACTGCAGCAGCTCATCCCAGCTGGATCAGCTGTCAGTCTGCTTTAACAGCTGTAGCTTTTGATGGAGTGTATGTTGTGCTGATACTAATAAAGTCTCAGAACTGCAGAGCAGCATGTTTCTCTTTGTAGCTGTTACCTGTTTACCAAACACTTGCAGTATGTATTTGTACTGCTCAGAGGCACTGGATCATTTCTACTGACAGAATGCCTTTACATAATTTATTCATTACCTGCATCTGTATTTACTGATATTATGATTGTGGATTCATTATTAAATAACCCAGAACATGATCATGGTGTCTTTTGAACATTGGAAATGATTTATCAGGCTAAATGTTTCAGGGGAAAACTTAGTAAAATAATGTAACTCCAGTAAATATCAGGAATTCTCACATTATATGGAAATGATGAAATGTTGTATGTAAAGTGTTTCTGGCTTTAATGGTATCCATACTAAAAGTTTCTAATAAATGAAGGAAGTTGTTTGTGGTCTTTCTGTTGTTCAGACCTACAGTGAGCACAGATCTTTACCTAGGCAATCAATCAGAAAACCAAATATAAAACTTGGGAATGATACACTTGAGTTTAATCTGTTATCTGTCTTCACTCCAGAATGAAACTCCAGGGATGTTGTGATGCATCAGATCAGTCTGATCAGCTGCAGCGTCCAGTCCACAACGGATATCCAATAAGGGGGCGTGTTGATCAGTAAAAGGCTTCCATGCAGGCATGTATCCTTGCGCAAGAGTACAGTTAAGAGCTAATAATGTAACTCTTACGTGCAAGATGGTGGACCAGAACAACTTCCAGTTCAAGGAAAGAAATGTCAAGAGTATTGAGACGCACCGTTGGAATGTCTAAGGTTTCCTCCTCTGGGAAGAATGGCAATCATAGAAATCCGCACTTTTACTTTCCTGTCTCCAAATTGCCTGATTATAGTGTACATTTGACAAAGGGGAAATCGCATCTGGGACTATTAAGTACTGAATCAATTAGTTTCATGCATGAATATAAAGTATATTTTGAGTCCTTAAACTTAACAGTTCTGCTCACCTTGTCCATCCACCATCATACGTAGTGTACCCAGCAGTTTGAACTGAACTGGTGGCATGTCAGAGCGCAGCAGGGTCTTTATCCTCTCAGTCACCCCATCCTCCAGCAGCTGCACTTTGTTGGTGGCTGGAAGACACAAATGTCACAATTATGCACTTACTCTCAATGTAAGGTGTGTGTGTGTGTGTGTGTGTGTGCATGTACTGCTCTGTATGGTTTATAAGGGCAATCGATCAGTACCAGGAATGGCCAGGTTTCTGAGTGCACTCAGTCCAGCATGTTGAACAGACACGTCTCCTTCATCGACATGCTGCTCCAGCAAGGTCAGGATGTGAGGAACCACACCGAGGTCCAGCATCTTCACACAGTTACTGTCTGACAGAAACACAGCAGACCAAAGACACCTTCAAAACCTGTATTACATTAAATCTGCCCATTCAAAGTGTATCAATGTAATCCATTAACTCACAGAAAGATAATGATCCTATTACAAGTAATATTATATTTCTTCAATATTAGCCGCATTCAATTTGTTGAATTGTATTTTGAAGGAGGTGTTGAAGTCGCGTCAAGTGGAAGACAGAATGTTGACTGGTCTTAAGATGAAGTTCTGGCTTCAAGCCCAGCGATATTATCCAGCAAAGAGGACCCCAGATTTACCGTGTTCAATTTAATTTGACACATTAAACAAATAGTAGAACCAGACATGTCAGACATGTTTTACTGGGACATATTCCAAAACAAATTTTCAATGTGATTAACACAACCAGTTGATGAACAGAAAGCTTGAGGCCCCTGGTGTTTTGGGGACTGATGGGATTGCCTAGGAAGTCCAGCCGTTGCTCCAAGAATGCTGTACTGATGTCAACATCTCCCTCGGTATTCAATATTTTTCTACAAGAAGTTAGGGACTCTCTACTTAATATCAAGTCCTTTGAGGATCGTTTCATTTAGAGATATTTAATCTTGAATCTGCTATAACTGTTTGGCTGCTTGGGGGCAGCAAAAACAAGCTCTAAACACACTGACACACCTTATAAAGTGATATGGTGAACTTGTCAGTTGCTTTTTTTCACATCCAGCAGACACAGAACAACATTGCCATTCATTCAGTGACTGTGTGCACCTGATGTCTAATATTTACTTTCTCTGTCTCTGGTTTTGGTCTCCACTTAAATATCTGGCTCTTTGGCCCCTGAAATGCTCCACTATGTTCACCAGCTAGTCTCTAACTGTGTCTACAAATCAGTCCTTTAAGTCATTTAACCCATTTAACCTGTGGTGTTGCTTGCTTATCTTTCGTAGCTCCACACAGATGGCACAGATGGCATGGTATGTCCCTTTATAGTCCTATAAAGTGATGTTACAGGGATCTCTTTCCAGTCTGTGTCTTCTGAATATCTCACCGTTCCTGGCGAAGTTGGCGATGGCCAGGGCTCCAGACAGCTGCAGTTGGGTGTTGGAGCTCTGCAGCCAGGACAGGACATCCTGATACACGAGACCTGACCCCTCACCAAAACACTTCTGCATAGACTCATCTGACACACACACACACGCGCACACACACACGCACACATGCACACTCTTTAAAACCAGATACTAACAAAGAAGCACCTATTACCATCCTTGTATAATAATATATCTATCAGGAAATCAGGCATCAGGCTGAAAGGAGTTATTATACTGTAAACATCTGCTTGGCAAATTTGTTATGTCATGGCCAGCCCCTGCTCCTCCTCTGTCTCTTTCTTTAGATGACATCTCATGACAGCCAGTTAACACCACATCACTGTGATTTGAATTGGCCAATCAGAGCTGAATGTGCACAGTAAATTCCAGGCACAAAAATGTCTGATTACCTAAATCAGACCTGTCACATCACATTCTGCACATTCAGTGTGGAGAGCAGGGAAATTTCTTATATATAAAGGAAGGTCTGACCAGGTGAGTGAGGTGAAAGACAGACAGAAAGAAAGGCAAATAAGGAAATGAACACCTAAACTAAGAGAGTTGTTACTGTACACAAACACATTCAGAATTGTCCTTAAAGTTTGTACCTACATCACTCACCTCCTAAAAGCAGGGACACTATGAGATTGGAGGCGATCTTGATGCTGCAGAGGTCGTGGGGGTCAGAACCTCCCTGTAGACTCCTAATCATCTCTGATAAAGCCTCTGGTACTCCTGATTCTGCAAACTGCAGCTTCAGCGTATCTGGTGTTACAACACAACAAAGTAAGGTTAATCTTGACTTTTTATTTACTATTATTAACTAACATTTTCTTCCAATAATTGAAATAAAAGAATAGACTAAAACAAAGGTTTTGACTTTCATGTACTAGATGGTACTCAGCATCATTTCATGTTGGAAAATCTGACATTATACCAGTACCACTTTCATCCTTTGTCTTGTTCTCCATCTCTCTATCTCAAGTTTTCAGTCTTTACTGAAACAACTATAGAACTTACATAATCAAGGATGCTAATGCCACACTGGCCAAGATGTTTATTTAAAATCAGCACGAGTCGATTTTTAAAAAAACTAGTCTCATCATATTGAGCATTTGGTCACAGTACACTCCCAGCACCCACAGCGCCCAACATAAGGCTGAGTGTACAGTAAATCCAGCCATGGCTTAATTATGCATTCTCATTCTAGTCCTCCAGTTTGCATGTTTTAATCAGAAATAAACAGCCTTGTGAGCACTGGCTCACCGCACTGTGAGCCTTTGACTGCCTTGGATTCTTTATTAAAGAAAAGTTGTAATAAATATGCTCCTAGTTTTTTGTGTCAGGTATAACTAAAAATGATCTAGATACTGCCTGTGAACTGATGAAGACAAATGAGAATTATAACACTTCTCTAAACTTTGCCAGCCATCTGTTCACACTGTGTTACCTTGAGTACCTTGAGTATACAGAAGGAAAAAATATATAATTGAGTTATACCTTAACAAAAAATACATTTCCTCTTTTTTTCTTGGCTATATTTGAAAATGTTTATAGACACCATCATTAAGTGTCAGGGCAAGGTTATGTAAGGAATGCATTTATATACTTTCATGAAATTATATCACATTCAGTGATTGTTGGTCAAACTTTGAAAGCTGTCTGCAGTCCTCTGCCAAACAGAATCATATTCTTTGCTGATGAAGCTAAAGCATTGCTTTTTTTATGATAAATATGTTCTTATGATCACTGAGCATTATCAGATCTTGTTCTTTGAGCAATTGTGCATTCCTCTATTTAGCAATGGCCAATAAGTAAGTAAAATTTTATTTATCAACACAAAAACACAAAGCTTTTTTAATGTTGTTTTAAACAGTCAACAGACTCAGCTGATCTAATGGCAGAGAGAGATGTTATCAAATAACAACAAAGAGTAAAGTTAGTTGTCATGTCTTATTTTTAATAAATTAATCAGAACAAGAAACAAACATTCTTGCATATTGAAAATTGTGCACTTAGAACGAATGAGTAATAAGTGTAGCTGTTGTTAACTGTCTCCACTGCAGTCGACTTTGCGCTGTGTGTGTGTGTGTGTGTGTATTTTATTTTACCACTTGCCTGAATAGGAAATAGTAATGGTACCATAGTAAAGGTCTGATTTTTGTAGTGTTTCTGAGTTGAAATAAAAACACGATTGAACTAGTTTGTAGACATGGTTTTCAAATTCAATTGAGGGTCAAATTTCAAATTAAGGCAAGATAGTTTTGATATGGGTCTAAAATTGTTCAGAATGGATGGATTGAGGCAAGGTTTGTTTTAAAGTGACTGGACGGAGGTTCTTTTATCCAGAGGGATGAAATGAAATCTTCTATTGCGGTATATGTCATTTTACATTGTGATATTAGTTTAGTATATTGTGATACATTAGGGAATTCAATATACTCTCATCTCAATATGTCTGTTATTAGCAAATCCATCAAATTAAATATCTGACAAATCCAGGTAAAAATCAATCAATCTAAATTTCTCAATCTTTTCTTTTACTAAAGGCACAAGTCAAGGCTCCCCCTGTTCCCCTCAGGCTATCCTCAAATCAACACATCAGAATCCTATTCCAGTTTATAACACTACACATTACATATTGCTTTATGCTGATAATATTTATTATTTATTCAAAACACACATTCCTCCCAGAAACTGTGTGTGAAGCCAGATATTGTTTTCTTGGATGGGGCACTTAATAAGTGGGGGGGTATGGGGGTCCTTCCCCAGAAGATTTTGAGCATTAAACACTTAATTTCCTGCATTCTGTTGAAAAATTCTCCTCCAATTTAATAATAATAATAATTTAACTTATTTAATATCATCCCTGCTGAGTCAACACACATGATTAAGTCTTACCACCTCTTTTGTGGGGAAGTAACCTATTTAAATGTATTTGTGGCCACTTTTCATCTCAGTAATAAATTAATCAGTTTTAATTCAGTTATTGACTGAACTTATCATAACTCCCTAAGTGTTTCCCACAGAATGACAGTGTAACTGTGGCGCAGCTGTACAGGATGCTAGCTCGAAAACCCAGCTGTATTCTAACATTAACTTAGCTCTCCTTATTAGCTGGGCTCCTTACATGCTTGCTAATAACTTTTAATAACTGGGTCTCCGACATTGAAAACGTTGTGTTGGACAGATTTGTGCAGCTGTGTTAACGAGGGAGAGAGATCGAGAGACGGATGAGAGAGACGATAGAGAGGAAGTGCTGCGCGAATACGCGCTGCCTGCAGCTCAAATAAGGTTTTAAATAGGCCTAGTAAAAAAAAAGCGGTCAGCGTTGATATTGTGGCGGGCTGCCACAAATAAATGAACGTATGGGAAACACTGTAACATATCTGCTCATGTTCAAACCTTTCTGCACATTCAGAATCTCTCCCACATATCTGAGTTCTCTGATATGTAAATAAAAAAGTCGCAATGGGAGACTAACTTCTTTAGCCTATTTGAAGAGAATTCATAATATTTTACTACATGCCCTATACTGCATTATGTTACTGATTCGCTGGACGTATCCCCTCGGCCGTCTAACAGACAGAATGAGACGAGGAGGTGCTCATGCCGGGGAAAACGAAACTAACCGACAACGCCTGTGATCAGACAGAAAGCTCACGAATTCATTCCACACACGTTAACTTCAGCACCTCTGTTAAAGCGCCGCTTAGAGTCCCCAACAGAGCAAGACAGGGCTTCAGTTTTTAACGTTACATTTTTATAGCCTACTGAAACTACAGTATATGTCCGCTTTTGCACAAACTGTCTGCGACTCAGCACGAGGTGGGTCCACGTCACTCGCTGGTGTCACAGCGTAGTTTCTTTCAGGGTGAGTCGGACAGCGGAATATCCCTCTTGTAAATGTGGAACCACTGAGATAACAAGATGTTCATGGTGTATTCCTCAGAGAAATAAACACTTTTTCACCAAGAAAGAGAGCGTCAGTTTTCCAGTGTTTACACAGTAAACGCCATGTGGGTAAAATTTTAGAAGTAACACTCTGACTTCCCGTTCCCGTGAAAGCAGCACGAAGCTGCACCACAAGTAGCTGAGAAAAAATGCAGTCTCTTCCAGTCGCAGTGGACTAAACTGGGAGGTTTTAATGTTGCAGACCAGTTTTTTGCAAGTAGTTTAAAGTTTAAACTCATATTGTTGTGAATCTTAAGTGTAAACTCTTTTGTAAACAAAAGCAGCTCAGTGCCCCCCCCCCCCCTCCAAAATATTGGTTCCAGCGCCCCCCATTGTCCTCGGAACGCCCCCTGGGAGGCGGTACTGCCCCCATTGAGAAACACTAATTTAGAGCATTAAACTTGTAATTTCCTGTATTCTGGAGACATTTTCTGCTCCAGTTTACAGTGGAAATGTCTGTTTTTATATGAGGAAAACTATATTGCAGGGCAAGTTTTCTTACTGTTCAAATCAACCTTTCTCAAAGCATTTTCATTTGTTAGGTAACATTTCTTGGTGCAAGCTATTTTTAAGAATGTTTTTAACAGATGCTTTCAAAAAGTGATGTGGACAAAATCAGCCATTTGAAAATGTGGTGGGGACATGTCCCCAGTGTCCCCAGTGTAAATGACCCCTATACTTACCACTCTCGCCCAGTGAGCCCAGTATTTCCAGGATGACATGTCGTCGTTCGGCATCAGGCGCCCGTTTCAGCTGAAACGTCAGTACATCTGCCACATCCAGCTCTGCCAGGGCATCCCGCGCAGAGTCTGCAAACACAGAGGTATATATACTGTAACTATAGACAGTGTTGGAAGTAACTAACTGTCCTGACTACCAGTTTAAATAATCACATGAATGACATTGACAACTAATCTTACACAGCCTTTTTTTGAAATGGTAAATTTGCTGCTCTCTTCTTGGTTGTATTTCTTAAGGAAAGGCATTTACAGAGGAGCAATAGAAAGCATTCTGACTGGAAACATCACAAACTGGCATAGCATGACGGCTCAGGACAAGAGGGCTTGCAGCAGGTTATTAACACCACTCAGAACATATGATTGGCACCCATCCAATGAGCATTTGTGATATCGGTGAGGTAAGCCCAAAAGATACTAAAACACAGTACCCACCCAGCCACAGCCTGTTCACCCTGCTGCTGTCTGGCAATAGATACAGAAGTGTCCTAGCACCTGTATCCTTTTTGTATAATGTTGTAGATAATGTTTGTTTTGTGAGTAGCATAAAGGGATCTTACAATTTAATCTAGTTATACAACCCTGTGATGTAAAATAAAATAAATACAGCTACCTTTTACCTTAAGAACACAAAGATGACCAAGAATTAAAGAGGTGGTATTCTGCTTTTTGGCTTTTCCCCTCTCCTTTATTGAGTTATATCTCTTTTTTGTGCATGTAACAGGTTTGCAAAGTGAAAAAGCCCAAAGGGAGTTCCCATCTCCCACAGAAAACTCTGCTCTGCACCGCTTGAAAACAGCTGGTTTGTAGTCCAGCCCTTTACTTCCTTTACTTGTGATGTCATAATGAAAACGCGTCATAAAGCTTGCCAAGCAGCTAGCGGGGTCAGGCACGCCCTCAAACCAAGCTAGTCTGAGCGAAGGCCCTTTGGCTCGACTCGCCTTTGTTTGGGTTTCCATTGTAGAAATTTTGCACTTGTATCTGATTCCAGGTACTTTTTTATCCAGGTATTATCACCTCCATCGAGGTTCCAAGCGAGCTGAGGGATAGTAAAATGTGACGTGAAAACATGACAGACTGCTGATTGGTCAGAGAGAATCGTCACCATTCACTGCATCATCATTGCTGCACCAGACAGAGGCCAGCAACAGAAAGTTTTACAGTTTTCATATGGAATCTCATCACTAAATCCACTTCTGAGAAGTTTTGAGGTGAGAAATCAGCTGTGTAGATTTCCAATATTGACAGTTTTACAAGAAGTGATGGCGGAACAAAAATGTGCCGCGCGCTCACAGAGCCCTCTGCTCCCGCCGTCACACAGACCGCTGCAGCAACAACGGCAGAGGAAAACACAGCTGGAAGCTTTTCATACCGCTTATCTGTCTTTACATTCTGAGGAATGTTGAAACGTTTTAACTTAAAAAAACAGAAAGCTGTGTGGATCACTGGTGTGTGTGTCGCATTGAATATTAAATCGCGGCAGTTGTGTGTGGCGTTGCTATGACAACAAGCTACGTACTATCTCTGGGTACTGTCTGCAATGGAAAACGGAGCAGGGCCGAGCAGAGTCAGTCTATCGATTTTCGCTATGGTAGCATTTTTCGACAAGGCAGCAAAGATCGTCAGAACACCGGCAACAGTTCAGCGTTTAGTCCTGATGGTAAGATGTGGAACAATGATGATGTGGACTTGTGGGTAACTTATACCATCTGCTAGGTTACGCTCTCAGTCTGAAGCGGCTTTGATTTGGATCACATTACCTTGTTTCTTACGACCCGCCCTTCTCTGCTTCTGATTGGCTAGTAGTCCTTACCTGGGAACTGCGCATGTGCAACTCCCAACAAAGATTTTGTACAAGTAAGATGCATCACTCTGTAGCTCAAGAGCGGAGCGTTCAACACACAGGGTGAAAAGAGGAGCTGCAGCAATGTGCAGTATGAGAAAGATATGGTATATTGAAAATTAAACCATGTAAACCTGTTCTGGTACAACCCCTAATTAAGATTCTGAACCTGAAAATAAGCATAATACCACCTCTTTAAAAGAGCAGCCCTGCAGATGTAGAAAGACAGGTCTAAATACTGAGATGATGTGATTCAAATCACAGCTGATTCATAATTCAATATTATTATAAATGCAATTACTAAATAATCACCCATGTCAGCCAGGTTACAGAGGGCCAGCAGGCACACGTTGACCAGGGGGTCATTCTCTGGATACTCCCTTATTATGGACACCAGCCGAGGGATTACACCATTCTGGACTAACTGGTCCTGTTGGTATGCTGAGGGGGAGAGAGAGAGTGGAAGAGATCAAGGATAAAGTAACAGATATACACACACATTCTTTTATTATTTTGTTTTTTGATTTGTATTTGGTGTATTTTTGTCTCAAAAACAAAAACAACAACAAGGCAATTGTCTCCTTTCAACATCATGTTTCAGTGGTTTACTATAATGATCAGGCAGCTGATGTTAATGGCACACAATTCATTAAATTTAATTCAATTTTAATAATACATAATTTTACATTTGAGAATTAGAGGCCATATACATGGTACCTATTTCAACTTGAAGACTGAATTGGTGTCTGTCACTCTCTGTAGCCTTCAAAAGAACCCAGACTTTGCCTCATAAGCATACTGTTCAGTCATCATCAGTAAACCCTGCTGACCAAGACAGCACTGTCAGACCTACTTACAGTTGTCGAAGCAGATGCGTCCAATGGCCCTGCCAGTGTTCAGCAGCATCTCCTGGTTATTGCTGTTCAGATGGGGAACAAGCACCTTCACCAGGCCTGCCTCAATGCATGGCTCCCTGACTGCAGCTGCAACATTACATAAGATTTAACCTTAATGAAAAGTATAAAATAAAATTCCCCACTATTCTGCGACATATTTTCACAAACAGTATATAAAGTGTTACAGTAAATATTCAGCTTGAACCAGTGCTTTATTAAAGCCATAGTATATTATATAAAGTGAAATCAAACCATAAATATAATTATGATCATATGATGTAATATGATACATGTTAATATGACTATACATTCTATTTTACTGCATTGTCATTATAAATTTTCAATTCACACCCCAGTCACACCTCCTTTGTTCTGCCAATGGGATTTGGGCATCCACACGCATTAAAAATGGTGACGTACAGTGTATTGTACCATAGATGAAGAGGCAGATTCAATCGTATCTGTTTTAGTAGCATCCATGGTTTATTCCTGGTCCCATGTTCACTCTGCGGTCGGCAGGAGGAAATACCCGGAGCCTTTATTTTTTGTTTTTGTTAATCTCCAAACTCAGTCCTGGCCAATATAACAAAGCTTGCATCCTTTTACAGGTCTTGTATCTATCAAGATGGCCTCATATTGACTCTTCATTGAACATCCGGAGAAGGAGTTCCCAGACATTCTGGTATGTAGTTATCCATTCACAGGGGGGCTGGAGCCAATCCCAGCTGACTTTGGGCGAAAGGTGGAGTACACAATGGACAGGTCGCCAGTCCATCGCAGGGCCACACATACACAGACAACCCACCTAAGGACAATTTCGGAGACTAGCCGAGCCTGCATGTCTTTGGATGGTGGGAGGAAGCACCCGGAGAGAACCCATGCAGACACGGGGAGAACAAGCAAACTCCACACAGAAAAATTAGGCTATTAGATCTGCAGATCGGACTGTCCGTCAAGGGGGAGTTCGAAAAAGGGTGTTTTGCATATTTCATGGTTTTGCAAAACACCCTTTTTTGAACTCCCCCTTGACGGACAGTCCGATCTGCAGATCTAATAGCCTAATTTTGCAAGTAGAATCAATCTACCCTCATGATCAAACGTTAATAAAACCTTCTTGCTGTGAGGCAACGGTGCTAACCACTGCACCACCGCGCCACCCCTGATAGATTATTATAGGAAAATAGATGCTGCTGTGGAAGATTCGGTAGACTTTATCTTCTAAGATGGTGAATTTGATAGAGGTGATTGAGGCCACCATCCATCATACACTAAGGTATATTTTCAATATTTCCAGGTCTTCTTGCTGTGCTCTCCATATCTTCACTGCAAGGTTCCCCCTTAACTTACAGCATAGCAAATGCTGTTGTCCTACTGCAAGCAATGTCACTTGGGACACTGGATAAGTTGGTACTGTATTATACTTCCCCCTCTGATACTCCACTTCAAAGGTAAACTCTTGCAAAAAAAGAATACAGGAAGTTTCTACCCTCTAGGTAGTACTACTATTTTCCACACTACCGTCAAACACTCTTTTTCAGTGTAATTACTTTCTGCTTTATTGAGGCTTTTGCTGCCACATGCCAAGACCTCCTCTGAACCTAACCCAGTTTGTTAGACACAGTCTGGAAACCAACATGGCTGGCATCAGTGTACACCACAAAGGGCAGGTCAAAGTTGGGATGATACAGGGTGGGTCAGGTACAAGGTAGCTTTTGAGGGTCTCAAAAGAGTGTTGGTACTCAGAGGTGTATGCTCCTTTGGGTTTAAGGGATTTTGTGGTTCAGCAGCCTAAGAGAAGATTGGCACAATAAGGTGGTAACCGTCAATTTACGCTTCTTTATGTTGACAGTAAAGTTGCCATTCCATCAGCCTCTGGAAGGTAGCTGGGGCATCCTTAAATCCAAATGGCATACCTTTAAATTGAAAGAGCCCCAGGGGACAGGTGAAAGCCATTTTGTCAATGTTGTCCTGATCCATCCAGCATTGCCAATAACCACTTTTCAGGACAATGCTGGAGTCCAGAATTTCTTGGATGATGGGGAAAGGATAGACATTAGTGTAGGTTACCTCATTAAGTTTTATCAAATTAACACAAAACCTCAATTGTCTGTCCTTTCTAGTAATGAGAATCACTGAGGAGGACGAAGCTGAAGATAAGGGTTCAATAACATCCATCTCCAGCATTTCCTCAATTAGTTCCTTCATCACCTGAAGGTTTGCTGGAGACAGCTGATAGGGTCTCTGCTTTATTGGTATATCCTGGGTGATGAAGATTTTATGAGGAAGCACCTCCATACATCCCAACTTAGTAGTGCATATATCACAGTTCTCCTGTAGTTGATGAAAGAGACAGCTCTTCCCTGCTGCATCCATTTGAGCTCCCTCAATTGCCCTGTACAAGAGCTCTGCGTTGAGACTTGCCTGGGTAGACTTGATTGATTGTCTGGGGTCAATGGCAGAGAAGAAGTAGAGATGTCCCTTCTAGCCCCAATCACCAAGATTGTCATTGTTGGTGTTAACCCAGTTCATCCAATATCCATCTGTTACTTCCAATATCCATCTGCAGGCCTATGACACACATGAAATCCAGACCTAAGACAATGGGGCAAGCCAGGGCCTCTGATGACAAGACCACCACAGGTAAAGTGTATGTGTGACCCTGTAATTTTAGTGCCATCTCCTGCCATCTTCCTCCCCCACATGCCAAGTAGAAGGGATTTCCTAACCAAGGATTCAGATTCTCACTTATTCACTTATCAGTATACAACAATTTCATTCAGAGGGGTGTATGATGAGCCAGTATCTGCTATGGCCCTCCCTTCCAGAACAGTGGTCAAAGTAACAAAGACTTGACGTGGCAGAGGCCTGGTGGGTGATTAACAGTAAGCTGTTACTTTTGGCTGTATGTGTGACACTATATGTACACTGTGGGATTGTTTCTCATAAAGGATCCTGATAAAGGTTGATGCTGTTGCTGGTGGTGTTGAGCAAACCTAGTGTTACGTCCCGAGGTGTCTAGGGATATAGGGACATAAACATAAACCAGATGTTCTTGGTTTGGAAGGATATTTATTTGAAATAATGCAAGTGGAGCACAAACAGAGGATGGGCCAATGGGTGCTGTGGAAATCAACAAACAATTATAACAAAAGGAGATCCTCAAAAGGAGGATTACTGCTTACAGAGATACTAATAAAACAAAAATAAACCAAAAGCTCACTAGCCTACTGCATTTGAAAAACCCAAAACCCAAAATGCACAGCACCCCTGAACCTTGTGAAAACTAACATAAAACAACTATGGTGTGTGCAAGAAAGGTGTCAGTGATAGCTAAGTTTAGCCCTGGCCCACTCTCTTACCTTCACACAGTGAAACACACAAGTCAAGACACAAAGTCTAGCACGGGTTACAAAACACTACTATAATCTCTAAGACAGGCATTCCCGAGGCAAGCAACTCAGGTCAGATTGCTGCCCCGAATGGCAGACCCAGCAGGCTTTTAAGCAGGTGGTGGTCGTCACGGTCTCCATCTGATTGGCCCGTAGCATGCCGCACCAATTGAGGGAATGGTAACTGGAAACCCAGGAAGTAGGCGGGACCTTCTCTCCTTGTGCAGCCAATCCTCCGCGTGGGCTTGCACAGCCTGCTCAGCATAACAGATAGCCCACTTGAAAGCACAGGCAAATACAGGTGGGGGCGGTGGCAGCCGTAACACCCCCTCCCATAAACACAAACTCCATGTTTGGGTGAAACACAACTCAACACGCCAACACTCACTGTAACCTGGACAAGGCGTCAGCCACCACATTTCTGAACCTTTCTTGTGGCGGACATCTAAGGTGTAGTCCTGAATGATCAGGGCCCAACGCATTAGGCGCTGATTGTGGTTATACATGCGTGAGAGAAAAACCAGGGGGTTATGATCAGTGTAAATCACAACCGGCAGGGAGCTGGACCCAACATAGACCTCGAAGTGTTGTAAGGCCAACAACAAGGCAAGTGTCTCTTTTTCAATGGTGGAATAGTTAAGTTGATGTTTGTTAAATTTCCTGGAAAAGTAACACACTGGGTGATCGATCCCCTCTACATCTTCCTGTAAGAGAACAGCGCCTGCCCCTACTGCACTGGCATCCACCTCAAGCTCGAACGGCCTGGCGAAATCCGGAGCCGCAAGCACAGGTGCATGACACAGGAGCGCCTTGAGGCAATCAAACGCGGCTTGACAGTCTGAAGACCACACAAAATCAACCTTGGGGCTCAATAAACGAGTTAGTGGCTGAGCAACAGTGGAGAAGTTACGGCAGAACGCTCTGTAATACCCTGCCATTCCCAGGAACGAACGCAGCGCTTTACGTGTAGTGGGGGCCGGGCACAGTGAAATTACACAGATCTTTGCTTCAACAGGTCGCACCTGTCCCTGCCCGACCTGTCTACCCAAATAGGTGACGGTCGCCTTTCCAAATTCACATTTGGCTAAATTCAATGTCAGATTGGCCTGGGCGAGTCTACTGAAGACCTGTTCCAAGACGCGTAGGTGCTCCTTCCACGTGTCTGTATACACAATCAAGTCATCCAAATATGCGTTACAGTTACTCACTCCAGACAATACAGTATTCACTAGTCTTTGGAAGGTAGCGGGAGCATTACACATACCAAACGCCATGACAGAATATTGTGCAAAATGGTCTGGCGTAACAAACGCTGAAATAACTGCAGCACGGTCAGTTAAAGGTACTTGCCAGTAACCTTTTAACAGGTCCAGTTTGCTCACAAACTTGGCATTCCCCAGATTGTCAACGCAGTCTTCCATTCTCGGCAAGGGGTACGAATCACGCACAGTTACGCAGTTCACCTTACGAAAATCAGTAATGAAGCGAGGTGAGCCGTCAGATTTAGCCTCAACAAGGCAGGGTGAACTCCATGAACTAGAACTGGGTTCAGCAAACCCATTCTGAAGATATTCCACTTCTCCTTTCATCAGTTCCCGTTTTGTCTGGTTTGCCCGGTACGGATGTTGCTTTATGGGGCGCGGGTCAGTCAGTTCAATATCATGCTGTATTACAGTCGTTTTGGTCGGTACATCACTGAACAAACAGGTGAAGTTGTCGACAAGGTTGATTACATCCTGTCGATGTTCAGCAGGTAAATGTAATAACTGGGACGGCAACTCTGCTATCGCCTCTGAATTAGGGAGTCGAGTGCCTAACTGGACTGGGTGACGCGGCCGCAGGTCATCACAGTCGGGGAGAGCGCAGGATCAGTTACGATCAGTGCCGCGCTCTGGGGAGGCGAGGTAACGAGTGAAGGACCAGGTCCACCTACAGAGCGGTTACTATCCTCTCTAGGTTGATATGCTTTGAGCATGTTGATATGACAAACGCGCGTTTTTCTCCTTCGCTCGGGAGTACTGAGAATGTAGTCCGTGTCACTGAGGCGTTCACGGACCTCATATGGACCCGTAAATTTAGCAGATAGCACCGACGTCGGCGTGGGCAGCAACGCCAGTACCCAATCGCCAGGATGAAAACAGCGAGCCACAGCAGAACGGTCATAGTGGCGCTTCATCACTCTCTGTGAATTGGTTAAGGACCGTTTAGCGTGTGCGTTCGCGATGTGTAGCCGCTCACGGAAGTGGCTGACATAATCCAATACGTTACTGACCGGCGACGATTTGAGCGACACAAACTGGTCATGCAACGTTTTAAGCGGGCCACGGGGGGTATGCCCAAACACGAGCTGAGCAGGGCTGAAGCCCAAAGACTCGGCTTCACGTGCTGCAAACAAAACAAATGGAACCCCTTCATCCCAATCTGTTTGGTTTTCTAAACAATATTTACGCAGCATGGACTTGAGAGTCTGATGCCAACGCTCCAGAGCCCCTTGGGACTCAGGATGATATGCCGAGGACACTGCATGCTTAATATTTAATGTGCCGAGCACCTGTTTAAAGAGGTTGGACTGAAAGTTAGAACCCTGGTCTGACTGTATTACGCGTGGAAGACCAAAGGTAGAGAAGAACTTGGTGAGGGACTTAACTACAGCTTTGGCTGTAATATTACGAAGGGGAATTGCTTCGGGAAAACGAGTTGCCGCGCACATAATGGTGAGTATATATTGGTTTCCGCTCTTGGTGCGGGGTAACGGACCCACACAGTCTATTATCACTCGGTCGAATGGCTCTTCCATTACAGGAATAGGATGTAGTGGGGCAGGAGGGACTGTTTGGTTTGGCTTTCCTGCTATCTGGCACACATGGCAACTACGGCAAAACTTTGCTACATCTGACTTTAACCCTGGCCAAAAGAAGTGCTTAAGAATGAGCTGATAAGTTTTCGTTACCCCCAAGTGTCCTGACCATTTGCTTTCGTGCGCAACTGATAACACATGCTGTCTATACAGAGAAGGCACGACTATCTGGTAAACAACATTCCAATCAGCATCAGTCTCTGGGAGAGGGGACCATCTGCGAACTAAGACGTCCTGGTCTAGCAGGAAAACCACTTTTTCCACACTTGCGTTATCGTTGATACTTACCACACTTCTGAAACAACGCTGCAGTGTTTGATCTCCTCTCTGTGCATTCGCCAGGCGCCCTCGTGTAACTGGAAGTGAATCTGAGCCGGGAGGGTCCTGTGATTCAACCGCCTCAGGCAGGGGTTGCACGTCGGCCTGCTCCTTGGTTCCCACCACCTCAGTTTCCCCTGAAAACATTGGCATGAGTACACTGTCGTTTAAGGAAACATCTGAACTGTCGCACTCATCCTGGAGCAACCGTGTGCGTGCACGAGTGAGCACACAAGCAGGAAACACTGAAGAAGACATATTGTCTGTGGGGAACTTGCCGCACAGAGGAGAATCCAGCACCTCCAACGTGGGCGTCACCTTCCCTCCCGCAATATCATTCCCAGTAGAAGTACAATACTCTGAATGGGTAGAGCGTCACAAACAGCAACAGGAAAGAACCCTGTAACTAAGTCAGATTGAATGTGGATACGGTGCACCGGACGTGGAACGTAACCCATCTCAATGCCGCGGAGCACTGAACCGAACCCACAAGCTGAATGTTCCGAAAAGGGCAATGCCGATGTCAAAATTACTGACTGGGAACACGCAGTATCCCTCAGTACCCGGACAGAGTGCTGATCCAAGGCAGGCCAGTGAGTGAAATGCGTGCTTCAAAAACAAACGGCTTAAAGCAGGCATCCAACTCATCGCATCTGTTACCCTCAATTCTTGTACTGCGCTGAGTTTTAATTAGACCGACGCCTTTAGGCTGGGAAGGGCGTGAAGACTGTTCTTTGCGTTTCAAGGCTGGGCAGGTAGCAATAACATGACCGGCCAGATGACAGTAATAACATTTCCTTTCCTCCTTCTCCCCACCCTGTGTTTTGTGGACAGAGGGAGGTGATACTGGTGCTCTACGTGGTCTTTCAGGGGAGTGAGCGTAAACAGTTTTGTGGATTAGTACATATTCGTCGGCCGTTGTTGAGGCAGCAGCTAGAGTTGTTACCTTCTGCTCATTTAGGTACACAACAATACGTTCTGGCAGGCTCTTTTTAAAATCCTCCACCAGTAACAACTCTCTCAGAGCACTGTAGTTATCAGCAGAACAGGCTGAAGTCCATTTATCAAATAACACACCCTTCTCTCTCGCAAACTCAGTGTAAGTCTGGTTCTGTGACTTCCTATGACTCCTAAATTTCTGCCGGTAGGCCTCAGGAACTCGTTCAAATACGAAGAATGGCAGACTTAACCGACTCATAATCTAAGCTCTCTTCCAAAGAGAGCGCTGCAATGGCTTCCTGGGCCTTGCCATGGAGCTTACACTGGAGCAGTAGTGGCCACACCTCTGTTGGCCACTGCAAGGCAACTGCAATGCGCTCAAATACACTAAAGTAAGAGTCAACCTCAGATTCCCGGAACAATGGCACTAGAGCAATATGCTTGCTAACATCAAAGGCCAGAGAAATTGGACTAGCAGAATTTAGGGTGGAGGAGGCGGATGATATACCTGGTGCAGCAGCAGGCGGTCTTTGCCTCGCCTGGGAGCTTTCAAGCTCGAGCTTCCGTAGCCTTACAGCCTTATCAGCCTCTACTTCCAGCTTTCTGATTTCAAGCTGAAGTTGCATGTGCTGCTGACGTTCCCTTTCTTGGGCCTCAAGCTGGAGACGGGCCAAGCGAACCTTTATACGGGCCCCATCTCTGGAACGAGCACTGCTCTCAGGGGAAGGGTCATAACGTGGCAGCGTGACTGGTGTCTTTAACCCTCCACCGACCTCGTCGTCCCACCTAGAGACTGGTTGTGGCTTAAGGGTCTGCACCCCCTCGGTCTCCGTGGAGCCAGCCACTGGAAGCGTTTCTAACTCTACTGCCACAGGTAATTCAAGCAGCCCTCTCTCCAACAATGTAGCCACAACTAATGGTTTCAGATCCCTTTTTAACATTGTTTTACTTACCGAAATCTGGAGGTGACTTGCTACTTTAACCAGGTCATTTCCTACAGGCGTGAACTTTGTCATGAGTCAGATTTACCAAAAATGACTCCACATCAAAATGCTCAGAAGCCATTGCATCTACACAATCAGCTGTACCAGCTTATCAATTAAGTGTGCTCCCTTACCCTATTCCAATAAATATCCTTTCCCCTGGAATCAATTATTAGATTATCCCGGACGAGCCCCCACTTATGTTACGTCCCGAGGTGTCTAGGGATATAGGGACATAAACATAAACCAGATGTTCTTGGTTTGGAAGGATATTTATTTGAAATAATGCAAGTGGAGCACAAACAGAGGATGGGCCAATGGGTGCTGTGGAAATCAACAAACAATTATAACAAAAGGAGATCCTCAAAAGGAGGATTACTGCTTACAGAGATACTAATAAAACAAAAATAAACCAAAAGCTCACTAGCCTACTGCATTTGAAAAACCCAAAACCCAAAATGCACAGCACCCCTGAACCTTGTGAAAACTAACATAAAACAACTATGGTGTGTGCAAGAAAGGTGTCAGTGATAGCTAAGCTTAGCCCTGGCCCACTCTCTTACCTTCACACAGTGAAACACACAAAGTCAAGACACAAAGTCTAGCACGGGTTACAAAACACTACTATAATCTCTAAGACAGGCATTCCCGAGGCAAGCAACTCAGGTCAGATTGCTGCCCCGAATGGCAGACCCAGCAGGCTTTTAAGCAGGTGGTGGTCGTCACGGTCTCCATCTGATTGGCCCGTAGCATGCCGCACCAATTGAGGGAATGGTAACTGGAAACCCAGGAAGTAGGCGGGACCTTCTCTCCTTGTGCAGCCAATCCTCCGCGTGGGCTTGCACAGCCTGCTCAGCATAACAGATAGCCCACTTGAAAGCACAGGCAAATACAGGTGGGGGCGGTGGCAGCCATAACACTAGGAATTTTGTCCTTAGTGGGGGGGTGGGAGCCCTTACACCACCAACACAAAGCTGGAAAAGGTTTTGCTGATGCTTGGTTGGTTTTGAAGTTGTCAGTGTGTGACAGCTGTTTGGGACTGGTTGGTGGTAGTAATGTATCTCTTCTGCTGTTGTAATTCTTGTTTTGTCATCACCATTTTTAAAAGGAAGATGGGCCAATTACTTTGGTGGATGCCCAAATCTCACTGGCTGAACAAACAAGATGTACCTTGGGTGTGAATTGAACATTTATAATGAGAGAAAAAAATAATATTGATGGCACATAGCCACAATACATATATTCAACATTTTGCCGTAATTCAGCATGAGTATGGCTTTTCAAAAGTGGCTTTTTCCCAGTGTACAACAAGTTAGTCAAGGAGCAAAGGAGATTCATTTATTTTTTCACTCTCATTACTCACGAAAGGCATATAATGTGTGAACTGATTCATGAAACAACATCCAGCTATGTGTCAACATTTTGGCAGCATGGATGAGAAGTCTTGAAAGTGCTCAGAACAATGGAAATTTGAAGAGTTACAATTCCTTATAACTATAGCACTATCCTACCTTCCCGGGCCATCTCTGCCACTACCAGAGCCACCTGGCAGCTCAGGCTGCATTTACTCTGTAAGGCTTGAGCCAGTGTGGGTAGAATCCCGCTGCTGGCAATCTCAACAGCAGCATCTTTCTCTGTGGACACAAATCCATTTATTCAGAATCAAAACAATGGCAGGATTTCCCATCCCTACATTTATTAGAAATATGTGAAGTTAGTTTTGGCTAGTAGTGCTTGTTTATACAGTAAAGCCGTGATGTGACTTCAAGTCAAAAAGAATGTGACTCAGACTCAATGACTTCTTGTCGTTTAAAAATGACACGTTTTGGTGGCCTCCTGACCTTTACTCTACTGCCACCATCAGACTTTCACTTTCACCCAATATATGTGACAGTCTAACAGGCTAATTGTGCCATCCTTATGCAGAATATTGAATGTGAACACAAAATCCAGGCTAATGACATGCACTTTGTTACATATACTGTCTGTGATAGCAAATCTTACATGTTGGTCTGATGTCTAAAAAAGCAATCAAGTTTCTTAGAAAAGTCAATCTGACGAGGTCAGACACTTCTAGAAAGCTATACCAGTACAGACACGGTGGAAGGATTTTTGGGAAGGGCGAGCATCAGATTTTTTGGCACAATAAATTAATAATTTGAATTGCGCTATCAAATATAGGCCTACTCCGCATACCGTTATATAACTAATAAACATATTAGAAAGGCATATAAGTAACATTTAAAACTGTAAGTTATGGAAAGATCATAATGAACATAACAAGTAGTACTCAGCTATTTTGACTTCTAATAGGATTTTATGAGCACAGCTATGCACCTGCACAGACCAGCTTAATAAACAAAACATAGCCCCAAAATAATTCTGACATGACAAAAACCAATTCAGTGCACATGATTTGACCTACAGTCTGTTATAGAGCATTGGCATATAAGACAGCTCTTTGACTCACCATCAAGTTCATTAATGTAGTTAGAGGCCACATTCTCAAATCACTTGTCTGGGTATTTCAGTACCCAAATATCAAGAGTAAGAGTAGTGTAGCCTGTGTTTCATGTTCATCTTGCAGAAGTACGGTGACAAGGGAGGGGGGAATTCATCACTTTACATCATTATTCTCTGCGAGCACTGCAGTTGAATGTAATGGTCCTGTTTTGTCTGATTAGAAGTATTACGAACGATTTATGTTACAGAATCATCATTTTAACTAAGCTAGGCTTTGGCAGATAAATCCAGCAATGTTACATATTCCGTGTATATAGAAAGGGCTTACTGTAGCAGGCTGATGGCTATGACATTTGCAGAGCACATTTATATTCCCCCGAAGACTCTTTTGGATTTAGTGATTCAGTGAGTTGTGCTACCTTTTGGAGCACAGTCTTTTTTTCTAGTAATATATAAGAAATATTTAGGCTGAGCTGCAGATGACAGCTGGCAAAGCAAAAAAAAGTTAGAGCTGAGCTGTGTGAAATAGTTTACTGTTTGATAACCAATTCTGGGATATGGTGACAAACCAGAGTAAATGAATGGAGGTGGAAGGTAGGTCTGTTTGTGTGTGTGGATGTGTGTGTGTGTGCATTACATGACTTACTCTTTTCCAGCAGAGCAGCCAGCACTGTGTCCAAATGAGGCTTGAGCTCCTCCTCAATCAGCTCTGTACTCACACTGATAGCCTTTAGTGCCTCGCTCAGAGAGTCTGCAACACCCACACAAACATACACCACCAACAGCAACAACATGTTAAGATAAGAATATGCCAGTCCTCCTTATCCCACCTTAATAAACACATACATGAATATGAAACCTAAATTAAATCAGCAAATGATCTGTTTCTCCTGTTGTTTGATTTTTATTTATTTGAAGGCTCCCCATTAGCAGGGGTCTTGGCAATCAGCTAATATTCCTGGGGTCCATGATTGACATACTTTACATAACAATTTCTTTAAATTTCATTCATATATATTAAAATCACCTCAATGTATTCTACATTAATCTATTTTTAAAAAAAGAAAAATGCATATAATCAATATAAAGCATTCACGTACAATTCAAAGTATTAGGATTGATATAAAACGGAACACGAACAGTGAGAAACTAGCAAAGAGTTATACCTCCTATGGTTCAGTCTGTCATCTACATACCCAAAAGATTTCTCTCCATATTCTGTTGTTATTTTTTGTGGTAAAGTGTAAGTGAGTAAATTATTCCAGTTTGTTATGGTTATGTAAATGAAAGTTTTTATCTGTGTTATTGTGCAGCTCAGAACGCATCCACGTAACCACAGAAATTCACTCTCAATCCTGCCTGCCTGTGTACAGTGCGAGAGGAGAAGGAGAGACACGGACTGAGAATACTCTGAGCAGTATGCAGGGGAATACATTAGACTACAATATAATAGATTTTGTATATTTGTCACTTTCACCCTGATATACTCACTAGATTTGTTACTAGTAGCTTTTTAAAATTAAAGTCACTAAGACTTTAGATGCAAAAAGGTAGGCAGTGGACCAAACCAAACATATGAGGGGGGAGGACATAATCTTTCAAAACTTGTAGTAGAATGAGAGCAGGCCATACAACCTACCCTACCAAAAATTTAAACCCTTGGTGTTAGCATGAATGCAGGTAAACATCTTGAAAACTGAAAAAGGAAACGGATTTCCACCAATCTAGAAGAATCTTGTTTAGTCTGGCAAGATAGTCTTAAAACATATAGGAAGGGCCGCCATAATGCCAAAGCAGCCTATTACTCATCATTAATAGAGGAAAATAAGGACAACCCAGGATTCTTTTCAGCACTGTAGCCAGTGAGGCATATATTCCAATAATAGAGTTTCTGATCTTTTCCAGAGATCCACTCTCACTTTCACATGTTTTTGTGGACACCTGAGTTATAGACAGCCTTCCAGAAGAACCTGTTGATAGCCCAAATGACAGATAATTGACTTGTCTGTGTTGTTACATCTTAGTGCTGCATTCAACACCATCAACCATCAGATCCTATTACAGAGACTGGAACATTTAATTGGCATTAATGGAACCGCTCTAAGCTGGTTTAAGTCCTATTTATCAACAAATCTTAGCTTGTACATATTAACGATGAATCCTCCAGCCATGCCAAAGTTACTCAAGGAATTCCACAAGGTTCTGTGCTTGGACCAATCCTATATGCTTCCTTTAGGAAATATTATTAGGAAACATTCCATACATTTTCATTATTATGCAGATGACACCTAATTATATTGATCAAGCCAGATGAAACCAATGCCTTAAGGATGTAAAATCCTGGATGACCTGCAATTTTTTGATGTTAAAACTATTATACTTGGCCCCAAACACCTCTGAAACATATTATGTAAAGGTATAGTAACTCTAGATGCATTGCTCTGGCCTCCAGCGCCACCATGAGGAGTCTCAGAGTTATCTTTGCACAGGATATGTCCTTTAACTCCCAAAGCAAACTTCAATCTCCATCCAACCATCATATCTTAAATAGCTCATAGTACCTTACTGGACACTAGAATTATGTCCAGACCAATATGCAGGATCTCTATCCTGGCTAATCAAGGCAGTTTTAATAGATTATAATAGGCTACACAAAGTCTGATCCATTTTCAGTCCTCTGTTTATGACTAAATGTTGTGCTCTGGGTATGCCATCTGTCAGCAACACCATATTGTGCTTCATTAAAATACTGGGACATTTTTTGTTCATGCTGGATTTGAAGAGAGGCTGCCTAAATCCTGTTCAAACCATTCCTTCGACAACATATCCATATATATATATATATATATAGGAAATTATTCATCATTCATTCAACTGTTCATATTGTTATATTGTCACATTGTATATACTTTACCAAATCCACTTACCTCAAGTACATAACACCTGCACATAATACTTATTTATTCCAGCATCCTTTGCACTATGCTCCATCACACTGTATACATGTGTACATGTATGCATGTATGTGTATGTGTACCTGTATATCACATCCACCTCCGACATGTACATAATAATAATAATAATAGCAATAATAATAATTTACTCCTGCATTCTTTGCACTCTGCTAATTGCACTATTTGTCAGTTTGTCTATATTGGTTTTGTTTTTGTTTATAGTGTGTGTTTATATGTGTTCTCTATACTGTTGCCTGTGTCTGATTTTATTATTGTAGTATTGTATAAATAAGCACAGTGAGCTGAATAACAAAACACCATGTGAGGAAAGCTTTGATGGAGGTGGAAAAAAAGTGATTTGACATTTTTAATGTAGGTTAAGCATATGCTACTTTGTGCATTGTGCAACGTTATCTTGTAGGCAAGTCTGAATATTGGATAAGATTGGATTGCATTACTTAGTATTTAAGTCTCTTCTTTATACTCAAATCAACAACCACTTGCACAAGGGATCCCAACGCCATATATGTAATAAGCATCCCAAAGCTAGCATTGTAAAATGTTAGCTTTATTGTGGGTATGTGGCATATATTGTAATACGTTAGCCTAGCATATATGTTTGATCATAGCGGCAATGAGGGAATTTATTCCATAATTTATGTTTATACCTGTCATGATGTGTAGAAAGAACATATAGCAGACATCAAGATGTCTAAGCAAAATACACCTATTAATTTAAAGCCATGCAGACTCTAAATCTAAAAATAATCGAAAACTATGCCGCTTAGTGGTACTACTAATGATAACAACAAATGATGTTAATTATTATCAGGCAAACATACTCACTCATAACAATTGAATCCATATACTTTGGAAACTGCCATGTCTCTACAGCATCGGTTGAGCCAACACATGGTGATTGGTCTCGACAGCTATTGGCAATATAACGATTTATTTATTTGGTATGGATATTTGTGGTCCCCAGAGAATGATGCTTACTAGTTCTGGTGACCCCCTGACCTTTCCTTTAGAACTTTCATCCATCAAAGCTTCCTCCTGAGAAACACATTGTTCCGTGCCTCAGAAGATGAAGCCTAATGTTCATTGTGTAGTGGACCAACAGTGTGGATTTGTGCATTTTATATTAAATAAATTTGGGCTACTCCAAATTCCTCTTCTCTCCCTGGGAGAGAGAAAGGAGGGGGTAAAGATATCAACTTTCAACAGATGGCTGAAGAGACCCAAAGGAAAAGGTGAAAGGTTGCTTCCCCTAAGTGATATTCCCGAGGCAGTGGATCGTAAAACTGGCCACTTGGCAACAGCCAAGATAAGCCTCTCGGTGCCTGACTGTTAAACTGACAAAAGGGACCTTAACCAGTGATTAGCGTTTCCCTGAACAGCCTATCAGAACTCTCCTTAAAAGGGGTCAGGAAACCCTAAACTGCCCCCCCCCCCCACGCACCATGGCAACTGACCTTGCTCTGTGTTTCATTACCTCATCAAAGAGATACTCTTTTTCACGCCTAGATGAGGAACTCCAGGACACCAGAGACACAGACGTGAACTCCCTTATGCAAACAAAGATTGATGTGCAAACATGATAAGCCAGGATATGTGAAAAGGGGACACCTTCTTGAGCTAAAACAGTGTTTCATTATAAACTGCTCTTCAAATAATAATCCTTGCTAAGTTAGTTGTGGTGTTGCCTCTATTTGAGTAGTTATGTTACCATGTTGTTGCTATCTGTTGGTATTATTGCTGAAAAGAATCTAAATAAGATACTTTTGCAGTGTTTCAATTTTCAGCAAGGTTAAGGACACTCCTTCATTTTATGTGTAACCAATGCTTGTTCACAATACTTTCCCACACAATTTTTAGAACTAATGATAAAGAAATGCCATACTATACTCTATTAATTGCCAGCTTGAATTTAAGGCTAAATAACAAAATTTCCCAGTTCCTAAGGAAAGATAGTTTTTGGATTAATCTAAGCTGTCGTAATGTAACCTGAGCTCCCCCAAGTGGACGAAATAAGTATTACATGCCATCATTCTGAAATGCTAACCTTTTAAGGTCTAATTACTGACAATTGTTTTCCTGTTACCAAATGCTTAAACTTAGAACGGTACAACCGTTTGACCATTGAGGTTTGATTGTGGGAAAATATTTGATTATAATACACGCAAATAGATTTTCTTTTCCTTTGTATAGACATATTAAAAGTTTAGAAAGACAGTACCTCGGGAAACCGGAAACGGCCCGCCCTGCGGGAAACGAAGGACTGCCCTCTGGGGAACCACGCCCCAGACACCGAGGTCAGCCCCAGCCACGTGGTCCCGCCAGCATAACAAAGGATGACTTAAACCTGACCCGAGACAGGGTTGGGAAGGCCCCCACTGCAAGTTTCTTTAATAAGCCTCCCAGAGACTGACCCCCGGAGAAATTCCCTGGCAGAGAAAGCGGCTGGCTGACAGCTTCAAGCTGTCCTAAATGAGAACGCACGGACTCTGCCAGTGTGAGGCCGTTTACCAGCAAGCAGTAAGACCAAAACCCTACATTCTGTGGTCAGTGACGTCCAATAGTTGCTAATCCATTTATCTTTAGTCCAGCATATGTAATCTTTAAACCCCTAGACAAATTTAACCGAGTTATCATCTAATTGCATTCATTAGTTGTTGTATGAGTCAAATCCTCCCACAATCGAACCTCCATTCTCATTGTTCCCATTGTTTATTTCTCTGATGTATTTAACCACCTTTTTATATCACCTTAGTTAGTTAATAAATTCACTGTAACCAAGGAATTGTGTGTATTGCCTACTTCTAAGTCCCTGCCAAGAGAATTGACCCTTTAGATATGAGACTGACTGATTGATTTAAGATAATTGAGCGATTATTAACTAACTGATCACTGGTGAATAATTGTATAATTATTAAAAGCTACCTAGAGGTCCGGAGACTCTAGGTTAATAACAACTCCGGTGGTAACGAGAGATTTATAGATTAATATTTTCTGAATATTAAAATTCATAATTGGGTATTCTCATAAATTTATTAAAAATCATATGTAGTTTAGACCTGCAACAATTGTGACCCCCTGACCTTTCTCCTAGTGCCACCATCAGGTCCTGATTTCACTTATTTACAAGAAATATCCAAATCTAATGGGCAGATTAGTGTGAAATATGCATTTCATTATAGTACATTCATACCCCTCAGAAAAGGAACTTTTTTAAATTTTGATGGAATGTGATGGGCACAAAGTGATTGAACTCTTTTCATGACCCCATGATCTTTCCACTAGTGTCACCTTCAGTACCAATGTCACCGTTTTAGTGATTTAGAGATGTTTGGGGTAAGCCTTCAATCTTAGACTGACTGTCTCCGTTTAGAATGCAACACACGTGTCCTCCGGATCCTAATGTGCCTTTTGAGTCTAGCTTCCAGTAAGATGGCTACACACATTTAGGCCAGCAAAGAATGCCTTGGTATAGCATAGCAAAGGGATAAATATTGTACACCAAGAGGCTGTCTGGAGATTTGGTTTGGTACTACACTCTGCTGTGGCAATTCTCTCTGGCTAGGCTTCAATAAACAATGCTGTGTATGACATCCTGAGATTCCTGATTCTTCATCAAGAGTTGATTAGATCACAAGAATTACCTTCACAGTGTGCCCTTTATGTCATAAGGTGAAAAGTAACGGTGTGGGGGTTGTAGTGGTGGAGGAGTTTGCCTCTGTAACAGACCTGCAGTTAACACTTGCCTTTTCATTAACAGTAACCACAATCTTTAGCCAACCTTAGGCAAGTGTTTTAGTTGCCTTACCTTAACAATACTTTAACCATGATTAATTTGCCATAACCACAGCCTTTCCCTAACTTTAACCATAACTTAGTTGCCATGGGCAGAAATAGAAAGCGAGAATAATGTTGTCAATGAAAGGAATCCCATGTTTTGTACAATTGTCCAGTGTCAATGTTCTTTTTTGGTCAAAGGGTTGAATACACTAATCACAGCTACTGTAGCCTGATTAGGGTATATTAATCTGAAACATCTTTCTTCCACTATTGGCATGGAATAAAGCTCAGGCAGAAACCTTAAGAGCTACTTACACAAATGCACATACATTTGAATGCATTATATACAAACACACACGCGCAGCGAAGAGAGACCTGCAGATAGTAATCACCCCAGCTAATCCCTTGTAAGTCGAATGAAAATAGCCTGAGTGGAGGGGGCTATCAAGCTAATACACAGCCGACTACGTCAGGATCTAACCCCCAGGTCCTTCTGTGTGCATGTGCTTCTGTGTGTATTTTACAAGAGAGCAGGCGACCACTTTACTAATCAGTCCCACAGAGTGCTGTGTAGGAGTCCCCAGGGTGCTTATTACAGATGCTTCAACTGCACTGCATGTTTCCACATATACAAACGTATACTTACAATAACATAGGTATATGCAGCGGGCGGACACATTACTTGGAACAACTGTTAATTCTAATCCAATGCACTCCAGCAATAAATCCCATCACAGTGAAACGTATTATCTAATATTATTATTAGAGCTGTGCCTGTGTGAGAGCTGTTGATTCACCTCTATGATCATTTTTTGAAGTTTTTACATTTATGATGCTGCTTACGGGGTTCATGCCACAGATCAGCAATTAATAAGACAAATCTGCAGCAGCAGTGGCTTCAGATGGGTCTGGGTTGTTGCGTGGTGGTGTTTCTTCGGCTTGTAATGCATGACAGCTACTGGCCACTGAATAGTTTCTGTCCCTCCACTCTTGAGCTAAACAGTGCAGTCTTATTTCCCAGTGATACAAACAGCTTGGTGTTCCTGGAAATGTGAAAGTGATGTCGTAGAGTGGAACAACTCTAAGCCTTGCCTTAAAAACTATCCCTCTTTTGAGACAGCAGGGAGTTTCATATATTATTGCACTTACTTAATAATGGTACGTGAAATGCAAAGTTTGTGTTGTATAATTAAAGATAAATGAAATGTGTTTTCACGGGGATGCCAAAATCGACAACAAGCCTGTACCACACCACACCAAAAACTGCAAGAAAAGGTATGTCATGGGGACTACGCCTCATACGCAGCCCCATTTTTTCACCTACTGGCTGCACTCAGGAGATACTTGGGGGAAGCACTAGTCTGTCATAGTTACTGTGTCAAGGTTCAGCTCTATGATAAATTTTGAGGCCAATTGCTGTTTACTTTTTTGTCTTATTTATTTTTGCCTTCATTGCAACACAACACAGAGACATTGCAGCTGACCCTCAGAGAAGAAGTGCACTGGAGAAAGAGGCTGAGACAAAGAGAACAGGAGGGAGAATGGAACGTCAAATTAAAAAATGAATTTGAACTGTGAAATTAAATTAGGTGATTGTATTACAGTTGTGTGTAGTAACTATTTCACTCACTAATTTGCAAGTTATCCTGTGATATTTCACTTTATATATTTGATCTATTATAGTTTCATAAATATTCCATGGTAAATTTAATAATTTGGTAGTAAACAGTATATACATTAGAGAAAATACATTTTAAAATAAGTATATTAAATCATTAATTTAGAATATTAAACACAAGCGCTATCTATCTGTCTATCTATCTATCTATCTGTCTATCTATCTATCTGTCTATCTATCTGTCTATCTATCCCTCATACACATTCAAATGCACACGTTCACATTCCCTGGTGTGTGATGCCTATAGTCCCATAACCACAGCTGGTATTATACGTCATCACTCATATGAAACCATGTACACACCCACACACACACTAAGGGATGTTAGATATGGAGCTACTCACCGGTATCTGTCATGGCTGCTGCGGTCGGCAGGCTCTCTGCTGGCTGGCTTATTGCCTCTGCCTGTATGTGTATGTGTGTGTATGTATATGTGTGGGTATGGGTGTGTGGCTAGCAGAAAAGCTACTCTCCCTCCTTAAGGTCAGGTGTACCCCAACTCTATCTCTCCCTCTGTCTCTGTTTTTCTCTAAGCCTTACTCTCGCTCCCTCAATCCCATTAGCCAACTCTCTCTCTCTCCCTCTCCCTCTCTCTCTCTACATGCAGCCCATGTCTCTGGATCTCTCTTGCACCTCCCTGCCCCCACTGCGCTTGCGTTCTCTCTCTCTGCTCATTTGCTCTTTTCATTCTCTCTCAATTCACAAATTCAAAAAAAGCCTTATTGTATGGAAATGTATGGAAACAGTACGCCAAAGCATATACTGTATATAAGAACATTAGGATCAACAAATACAATAATAATAAAATAAAGAAATAGATTGATTGTTTCTTGAAATTTTAAATTATTGGAAAAAAATAAAGGCTGTTTTACAGAAAGATCAAATGAAATAATATTTATCTATGGAAAAGACAATGTCTGAAGCCTGAATGTCTGATAACAAATGCAAAGCAATTCAATGAGGGTATAGAACATTTATGAAGGCCTAAGAAAAGTTGCAGCAGTCGGGGCTTGGTAGGGAGAAATAGTAGGCTAGTTACCTGGATGTAACTCCAGTTCTATGAGCATGTGCATAGCAATTTAACCCCTGTTGTGTGCATGCGCAATCTGATGTGCAGCATGGCCCTCTGCAGCATGCAGATTTAAAAAGAAACATTTTGTGGACATAAAAATTAAGGTAATTTTGTCCATGGCAAGAGTCTCGCCAAGATCCCGGTCACTCTGGCTTCGACTTGTCTTCTTAAAGACGCCCCTGCAATGCATCCCGAACAGGGCACCCCAGGCTTCAGAGGCAGCTGTGAAAACTTCTGATGGCGCTTTCAGAACAAAAGCGAAGTGAACGTTGTGGACGGTGCGTTTACATACAAAGTCAATGCAAAGATGCAGAGAGCCGCGATTTCCTGTTGGGCAGTGCAGAGGGGGGCGCTGCTGGCGACGCAAAGTCCTTCACGTGAGTTGAAAATTTTCAACTCGAGCGAAAAAGTCGCTTACTCACAGGAGGAGCTCAGAGTTAACTGCTTTCATTAAAATAGCTTTTACTTTAGCTTTTAGGATTACAACATTGATTTATCTTCACTCGAGCTTATCAGCAGCAAGTTTCCGTGCACATCCGCCACCCAGAGCTCTGCTGGCATAGCCTCGATTGATCCGAGCTCCATTCAGAAAACAAACATTTTAGAAGTTGTCCTGCTGACTTGCGCTGCTCCCCGTACACTTCCCCGTTCTTTAGCAGCTCTCCGTCGGCCAGCAGGTTGTCATTACACCGCTTGCCAGGTCCTCTCCAAATAACGCTCCGAAGCGGTGACGTTTGGACAATCTCACTGCTGAAAGGCTTTCGCAACATTACGTCAAGCGAATTTCTCGCCCCAAGTTGAAAAATTTGAACTGAATGTCGCAACAAACGCCTCTTTTGCGCCGCCCAGAGCAAATTCACAGGAATTTGCGGCTTTGCATTGACTTTGTATGTAATCAAGCCGCCCAAAACGCTGGATTCGCTTTCAATGTGAACACACCTTTAGTGTTCTAAGTTTTTATAACGGTGACCTTAATTGCCTATCGTCTGTATGCTGTTAGTTTCTTAATGACTGTTCCACTGGTGCGTGTTCATTAATTGTTTATGGTTAATTGACCAAGCATGAAGACTTTACTTACAGCTTTTACAATAAAGTTCTGTAAAGTTATCTGGAATTTTACAGAATTATCTTTAAAATCAGTGTCCTGAAAAAGGGCCGTTTCTTTTTTTGCTGAGTTTATATACATAAGAACTGTAAAGAGTTGGTACTCACAAGGATAGCAACTCTAGTTGCCCTCCCTCGCCTCCTGCCCACACAGATACACAAACAACCATAAAGCTGTTCACCGGCCCAACCATTCATTTACTGGCTTTTGTCACACCCCCAGCAGGGAGAAGTGTTCTTGTGTCACGACTCCCTGCTTTGTATTTCAGCTTCAGCTTCTCTCTCTCTCTGCAGCTGATGATCAACTGATGAGCTTTGAATAGATTTAGAGCGTATTAGGGAGGAGGGAGTAAAGGCAGTGAGAGAGACAACAGAGAGAGAGAGTAGTGACGGGGGGAGGATGGGGATTTCAATGGGAAGGAGATGAGAGATAACCACAGTCAGAGGCAGGAGGTGAGAATGAAACAGAGATGGAAACTCTTGGACAGTAGTCCATTTAAAATATAATTAAAATTTATTGCCTTCCTCCGTTGAGTTTAGCTTACTTAGATCTTACAGTATATCAGTGTGTTCTGATTAATCACCTTCACAATTTAGTGCAGTTGTAATGATATAGCTTTACACTGTTTTACCCCTTACTCAGGTCTGTTTCAGTCAATTAGGGCAATTTCTTATCCTTCATATAGTCAATATTCCTTTAAGCATCAATCCAAGGCCCTGTTTGCTGTCTATGTGATTTCTTTGGATTAGATACAACATTTCCTTTGATCACTGTGATCTGTTTCCCCTCATCCCCATGATCTGGTGACAGTAATGCACAACTTCTTGTAACATAGAGAACGTCTCAGGTTACGTTTGTAACCCTTGTTCCCCGAGAAGGGGAATGAGACACTGCGTTGGTGACGATACTATGGGAACACCTCTGGGCGTGGCAGGGCTGAAATCATGAATTAAACTACTCCAATCCTATTGGCGTTGCTAGAACAGTAGCGTGTGACGGCGTAACTGGAGGCGTATATAAGCATGCTGGCACACTGGACACATTAGCTCTTTGCTATGAAGCAAGGCACTCCAGGCGGGGTGAGGTGTGGCGGACTGACGCAGTGTCTCGTTACATACGTAATCCAAGACGTTCCCCTTCGAGGGAACGTGAACTGTGTCGGTGACGACACTATGGGAACGAGAATACCCACTATTCCACGCCTCCGCCTGCCCCCAGCGTGCAGTAACACGTAAGCACGACTAAGAGGAGAGCGCACGGGTGCCGGGTGCAGAAGGAAGGTCCAGACTGTAAAACCGGATGAAAGTGTGAGGAGTGGCCCAGCCAGCTGCCTCACACAAATCCTGGAGCGAAGCCCCTGCGAGGAGGGCCCTAGAAGCCGCCATGCCTCGAATAGGTGAAGGTAACCCGCGCACCTGATAGGCCAGGGAAATAGTCTGAACGATCCAGTTGCTGATTGTGTGTTTGGAAGCGGGGAGCCCAGCCTTGGGGGACCCGAAACACACCAGCAACTGGTCTGCTTTCCTCCACCGGGAGGACCTCAGAGTGTAAATACTCAGCACTCTGACCGGGCAGAGCAGATGAAGTCTCCCGTCCTCCGCCGTCACATGAGGTGGGGATGAAACGCCTGCAGCACCGTAGCCTGGGGTGCAGGATGGCTCTGACCCTCCCCGGGGAAAACTCCAGGCATCAAGGAGAAACCGAATGTGCCTGGAGATCCCCCACTCTCCTCAGAGAGGTGATAGCGAGGATAAAGGTCATCTTAAGGATCAGGTGCTTGGCCTCAGCCGACTCCAGGGGTTCGAAGGGGGACTCAGCCAGCGCTTCGAGAACCACTGCCAGGTCCCAAGTGGGAACGAGTCACAGGTCTCATCCTCCGGGCTCCACGGAGGAAGCGCACGACCAGTGGAAACCTCCCCAGAGGCCCATCCCTCAGAGGGGCATGGAACGCTGCCATGGCAGCCACATACACCTTGAGTGTGGATGGGGAAAGGCCAGCAGAGAAACGGTCCTGGAGGAACTCCAGTACCATAGTCACCGGGCAGGTAACTGGGTCCACCGCCCGTTCTCTACACCAGGTGGCAAACACCTTCCACTTCAGGCCGTGCGTCCTTCTTGTGGACGGGGCTCTGGAGCTGAGCAGCGTCTCGACTCCTCATAGGGACCTGCCACGGCGGACCCTCCGGGAGCGATATTATGTCCAAGAACCACACTCGGGTCGGCCAAAAAATAGTAGGCTGACACCGTTCTGACGGACCCACTCCAGAACCTCCGGGAGCAGAGCGACTGGAGGAAAAGCATACAGACGCAGCCTTGGCCACGTCTGCACCATGGCACCCCCTCTCGCCTACTGACAGGGAATTGCTGCTTGTAACCCGTATCAGACGGAGCGGATTTCCCCTCGGGGAGAATCCCTTGGATTTTAACCACCACTGAAGGGCTCTCATGTGCAGCAGGCCAGAAGGTATTATACTGGACGCTGCTGCCATGGGACCCAACACCCTCTGAAAGTGTGTCACAGTGATGGTGCGGCCTCGTTGCACTCTGGTCACTGTGGACAAAATGGACTCAACGCGTGCAGGAGACAGGTGGGCCTGCATAGTCGTTGAGTCCCACACCACCCCTAGGAACGAAGTCCGTTGGGCAGGCGTCAGCACGTTATTCTTCACGTTGAGCTGCAGCCCCAAACGCTGAAGGTGGGCGAGGACGACATCTTGATGCCGAACCGCTAACTCTCGAGACTGGGCCAGAATGAGCCAGTCGTCGATGTAGTTCAATATGTGGATGCCCTGGAGCCTCATCGGGGCCAGAGCTACATCCATACACTTGGTGAACGTGCGAGGGGAGAGTGCTAGGCCGAACGGAAGAACCCGATACTGGTACGCCACGCCCCCGAAGGCGAACCTCAGGAACGTCCTGTGAGAGGGACGGATGGAGATGTGGAAATATGCGTCTCGCAGATCTATCGTGACAAACCAATCCTCGGATTGGATGTGACTGATGATGGTGGGGATGGTGAGCATCTTGAACCTGAATCCCCTCAGAGATAGGTTCAGGGACCGCAGATCTAAAATTGGACGCAACCCTCCGTCCTTCTTGGGAACTACAAAGTACCGGCTGTAGAACCCGGACTCCTTGACTGGCAGGGAAATAAGTTCTGTGGCCCCTTTCTCCAGCAGAGAGCGAACTTCCAGACCACTTCCAGATCGGGGGGGGGGGGGACCCGGAACTGCAGCCTGTAGCCATCCACTACAGTGCACAGGATCCCCGGGGAAATGTTCGCAATGCTTCTGCGAAATCCCCCCGGGCCCGCCGAGACTGAATGATGGTCCTCAGATCCATCTTCTCGGGGGGCTGTGGGCGAGAGCGCCGCCTCGTGTCCCAGGTTTGTTGAGGGGGACCAGG